CGGCAGCTTTAGATAAAGCAGACGAGGATGAAACCAGGAGGAAACTCTGACGGCTTCATGAGAACCATTCAGGGCATCCATGCTACCCAGCTAGTTGCTCTTTCCTTTCGTAATCTCTGGTCCGCTCGCTCCCAGTCCAGGAAGTGTAATTCAAACCCAGAACAACAGATCCAAACCTTGAGATAATTAGAGTCGTTATCCTCCGAGAGGCCAGAGGTCACCACCCGATCCGTACCGGAACTAGATCCGTACCATGCGATATTCATCCAGGTGGCCATAAATAATGTAATTCTATCCTTAAATCACTAAAGAATGCTAATACAATCAGTTTTTATGACTATTCCGACAATTTGATGCTTTTTACGAACAGCTTCTCTGACGTAATCGGACATGCTCAGAGCAGTCTGGCTATAAATGATTAAACCATGTTTATCTGCATTCTACTCGTTTCTTTCTTTAGGTTACGCACTATATACCATAATATTAACACAAAAGGAAAAAAAATTAAAAAAGACTAGATTTATGTTTTAATCCAAAGCCGAAAAAGTTAGCTCTCAGAAGTAGCGTAGCATTTCTGATGTTCGGTCAAACCCGCATACCCACAGTTAATACCCGTTTAATATGTATGAAAAATTAACTTTAAACTACCTCAAATAAAAATTTCATTTGTGTGTTTTTTTTGTACACGACTAAAGGGATAAACGCAAATCTGACATGTTGCGTATTATAGGTATGCTGGACTGACAGAATACGGGTACAGATCAGGAACAGACTAGAAGGATTTTAAAGCAGTTATTTTCTCAGGAAATACATTATTAACCTTTAACACATTATACGCAGTACGCTAACTACTTCTAAGGAGGGTAAAACTCCTTAAAACTACCGGCACGGATCGGGTAGCTGACGAAGGCCAGATTCGTCGCTCGATTACATCATAGCCTGGAGCGGAGGCCTGATCGGATTCCAAGAGTCCTCGTTATGCGGCCTTAAAATGCGTCCTTCTTTTTGCCCGATTTGAAGGACGGGTCTGATGTATCCTCGGTATTCTTGGATATCCCAGGATTCATTGCGAGACCAAGCAAGCCGTGATCAGAGGAAAGGTTACTTGGCGCCAAACAGTGGTGAAAATTGGAAGTTCAGTTTAACATAATCCAGTCTGTGAATAGTTCCGTCTGAAATGAATGAAAATAGTTGTTTTAATGGTTATTGAGTCAGATATGTGGCGGTAATGTTTGATTTATCTAAAGGTTTTTATCTGTTACTGTGTAAATGGGTTTGGCTGGAATTTAAGGACAGATTTCGATATCTCAAAATATTTTAATTTTTCATTATTTAATTTTAATAATGTTTTTTTTTTTTAACAAAATCTATGGAGATGATGTAGTGGAAATGTTTAGCAGCTGGTTATTTGATGAAAAAAAAAATTTTTCTTAAAGAAAAAACTGCTTTTTGAGGGTTAACCGTTTTTTCAAGAAAAAACAACTGTTTTTTTTTTTTTTAAAGAAAACAATTGCTTTTAAAGACAAACAACTGCTTTTTGGAAGAAAACTGTTTTTAAGAGAAAACAACTGATTTTTGAAAAGAAAATTGCTTTTTGAATGATTACAACTGTTTTAAAAAAGAAAAAAACAGCTTTTCGGAAGATAACCATTTTTTCAAGGGAAAACATTAAAAAAAAAAAAAAAAGAAAAGAATTGCTTTTTGAAAACAACACAACTAATTTTTGAAAGAACCGCCTGCTTGCTTTACTCCTGTAGAGAAATGGAAAAAAAGATCAGAAGAACCAAACTCTGCTTCAATCCATGTGTAGTTCTAGGCAGGGGCGGATTTAGGAAATTTGGGGCCCTAGGCAAAGACAGGCAGGGGGCCCTCTGAATTGAGAAGACAACCCTTTAAACAGACCCGTTACCAATCTGCTTGCTCTGGAGGGGAAGAGTTTGCTGCTTTTATATGTTGTCGCCAAAATGAAGGGCTTAATAATGATATATAATTGCTTGAAAAAGTAGCTAATAATATGAATGTGCGTGGCCTTAAATGTGACAAAAGAAATTATTATTCATCTTAAAATATATTTTAACTTCCACTTTTATTTTATTCTTGCATTTACAGTTATACAGAATAAAAGACCTCAAGAAAATGTATAACAGAAAACAAGTGGGTTAAAAATAAGTCAGTGTAAATACAAGAAGGGAAGTCAAAATGAAAGCGGACGTTAAAATATATTTTTTATGAATAGTTGATTGATTGTTGAAGATGTCTTATTTTTAATATTTGTCACATTTAATGGCACACAAATTCATATTATTAGCTACTTTTTCAAGCAATTTTATATAAAGCCATTTCTTTCTGTATGTATTTTTAATTATGGCAGAATTGGTCCTCCATACTAGAGGGGTCTGAAAAGTGGCTAAATATAGCGACTAAAGCGCTAAGTTGGCAACACTGCTCTTTGCATGGTTTGTTTTCAAATGGTTTGCTGCTGTCTGTTTGGACCTTTCTGAACATGAGCAGCAAATGGACTGATCCAATATGGTGGACACTGAAGGGGGGGGCTGAGACACACTTAATATTATCAGCGTTCTGATGGCATTTAGCCAAAGGATTTTTATCTAAAACATAATTAATGAGCACAAATAAGGAATAGTTGTATTAACCATACATGTAAACAGAGTTCTATGGGGCCCCCAGGAACTTGGGGCCCCATAAAACTCTGTTTCCATGCATGTTTTGTCTGACGGTAAATCCCCAAACATTCAGGTTTCTGTTCAGGTAGAACAGAAACCTGAATGTTTAGATTTTCTGTCTGGCTGCTCATTTGGAGCAGTTTAACAGAATAACCATGATGCTGCCGCTACCGTGTTTCATCCAGAAACCTCCCTTTAGTCCCATCTCAGTAAAGAGTGTTCATGGCGCCCCTACAGGGCAGATAATGAACTGCAAAAAAGGAATACACAAAGTTAGGAAGCAAGAAAACAAAGAAAAACCTTTTTATTGTTAAAAAAAAGGGAAAATTATACAGGTGCTGGTCATAAAATTAGAATATCATGAAAAAGTAGATTGATTTCAGTAATTCCATTTAAAAAGTGAAACTTGTATATTATATTCATACATTACATACAAACTCATATATTTCAGATGTTTATTTTGTTTAATTTTGATGATTACAAATGACAACAAATGAAAATCTCAAATTCATCATATCAGAAAATTAGAATATTGTGAAAAGGTTCAAAATTGATGGCCCCTGGTGCCACACTCTAATCAGCTAATTAACTCAAACCACCTGCAAAAGCCTTTAAATGGTCTTTCAGTCTAGTTCTATAGGCTACACAATCATGGGGAAGACTGCTGACTTGACAGTTGTCCAAAAGACGACCATCGACACCTTGCACAAGGAGGGCAAGACACAAAAGGTCATCGCTAAAGAGGCTGGCTGTTCACAGAGCTCAGTGTCCAAGCACATTAATAGAGAGGCGAAGGGAAGGAAAAGATGTGGTCGAAAAAAGTGTACAAGCAAGAGAGATAACCGCACCCTGGAGAGGATTGTGAAACAAAACCCATTCAAAAATGTGGGGGAGATTCACAAAGAGTGGACTGCAGCTGGAGTGAGTGCTTCAAGAACCACCACACACAGACGTATGAAAGACATGGGTTTCTGCTGTCGCATTCCTTGTGTCAAGCCACTCTTGAACCACAGACAGCGTCAGAAGCGTCTTGCCTGGGCTAAAGAGAAACAGGACTGGACTGCTGGTGAGTGGTCCAAAGTCATGTTCTCTGATGAAAGTAAATTTTGCATTTCCTTTGGAAATCAAGGTCCCAGAGTCTGGAGGAAAAGAAGAGAGGCACTTCATCCACGTTGCTTGAAGTCCAGTGTAAAGTTTCCACAGTCAGTGATGGTTTGGGGTGCCATGTCATCTGCTGGTGTTGGTCCATTGTGTTTTCTGAGGTCCAGGGTCAACGCAGCCACATACCAGGAAGTTTTAGAGCACTTCATGCTTCCTGCAGCTGACCAACTTTTTGGAGATGCAGATTTCATTTTCCAACAGGACTTGGCACCTGCACACAGTGCCAAAGCTACCAGTACCTGGTTGAAGGACCATGGTATCCCTGTTCTTAATTGGCCAGCAAACTCTCCTGACCTTAACCCCATAGAAAATCTATGGGGTATTGTGAAGAAGAAGATGCAATACACCAGACCCAACAATTCAGAAGAGCTAAAAGCCACTATTAGAGCAACCTGGGCTATCATAACACCTGAGCAGTGCCACAGACTGATCGACTCCATGCCACGCCGCATTGCTGCAGTAATACAGGCCAAAGGAGGCCCAACTAAATACTGAGTGCTGTACATGCTCATACTTTTCATGTTCATACTTTTCAGTTGGCCAACATTTCTATAAATCCTTTGTTTTTATTGGTCTTCAGTAATATTCTAATTTTCTGATATGATGAATTTGAGATTTTCATTTGTTGTCATTTGTAATCATCAAAATTAAACAAAATAAACATCTGAAATATATGAGTTTGTATGTAATGTATGAATATAATATACAAGTTTCACTTTTTAAATGGAATTACTGAAATCAATCTACTTTTTCATGATATTCTAATTTTATGACCAGCACCTGTAGCTACTTTAAGAATTTGGCTGTTTATTCATCCAGCACCAATTTAAATCTCACGTTCAGGCTCCTTAAAGCACGAGGCGGTCTGCCTACTTTTAGAGCCGTTCAGAGACAGGACGGCTCCTCATAAATAAAAACCAGCCTCTGCTGCACCCCCGGAACTAGTTCCTCCTGGAAAACCTTGAACTTCAATCACAGAAGACCAGCCGTGGGTCGGATCGGCTGAAGGTGGTCTCAGTAGGTCCGTAGGTCAGCAGCCGTACATCCATTCTGCATTCTGGTTGCCGTTCTCGACGTTTCTTCCCACCCTCAGCGTCTTCCTCCAGTTTTTCTTTATATTTTCACCCAGAAAACTCGAGGCTGAAGGTTACTGACCAGGTTACATAAATAAAATCTTTATTTCAGTTTGCATAACGTCAGAATGAAGGCATTGATCATCTTTAAAAGCCTCGGAGGATAAAACTGCAACATCAGGAGGCTAGAAGGCTTCCGCTAGTCTGGACTGAGAAAAGATTCAAACGAGACTCGCTGTACATATTTACAGAACTTACAAACGCACAGGACATGCAATACAATCAGCCGAGCGGCTCGGTTCCAGGCGGAACAGGAAACAGGAAGCAGCTCTACGTGGAGAAAAGAGGGCCGGTAGAGGCGGCAGTGAAGACCGGGCCGGTATACAGTCCAGGTCCGTCTACGGGAACCTGCAAGCAGAAAGACACAACACAGAATGAGTTCTCACACATTTCAATATGTAGCATTAGCATGTAGCTGTTCTAATGATGGATTAGCATAGCAGCCACAAACAGGAAGTGACCCGCCCAGCGTGAAGGTAGAACCTATGGTAAACCTTAGCTAACGGGTGGAAAGTTAGGTGGAAGGATGATCCTACTACCAGCAGTAAACCGGAACAAGCTAACCCTTTAGGGAATGTTCAAGGTTTAACCAACATGACGATGAGAAAGACCAGAACCACCAACATTGGACCCTACATGGATAAACGCCACAGTAGACCAACGTCTATGCATTCATTTGTCGTGTTTATTGATCCGATACGACGTTCGAATGTTTAGAGAAACAGAACATCGGGTTCTTATTCGCTGGAAGTCAAAACAATCAGAACTAATAAAGATGAATGTTACACATGAGGGCAGACTCCTCCGGACAGGACTCAACCATTTACCTACACGCTAACGCTAACGGACACTCGTTTGAGGACAGAACCGTCCACATCTGGCAAAGGAAGACTGATGCTTGATAGAGGGGTTAGAAAAAACATCTCTCAACAGAGGAGGTGGTGTTAAGGCTGGTCTAGATTCAGAAACCAGGTCGTCTGCGTATGTTTCCTAATTAACAGATATGCCCCGCCCCCTACTGCAGACACTCTGCTGCACCTCTCCAATACTGTAGATCAAAATTTTAAATCTAACATATTTGCGTCTTTCCTTAGTCTTAAGGCTAAACGACACTCGTTAAAGGACAACAACGTCCATATTCTGGACAGTGAGAGCCGATGGTTTGAGGAAGGGGTTAAGGAAGCCATCTTTGTTAAAGCCAGGCATAAACTTAATGATCATTTTGCTTTTTTTCCAATTTATCAGTAGTGTGAGAATTTTTTTCAATCGGGCTGAGTTCTAGCCTGGTCGTGTAGAATACAGAGGGTAACGAGTGGCGACCAGCGTCTCATGAACACCCGATCGGGAATCATAAGGTCGCAGAAAATCAAACGTTTGGCATTCAGTCGGCCATCGTAAGGCATTGGTGGGTAAATCCTGCTGTTGAAGCAGAGCTACCAGCCGATTTAGCAGAGCATGTGCAAACAAGCGCTTCGTCTTCCAGATTGACGAGTCCGAGTAGCGCCATCTCTCGGCACCAAGTCTGACGAGTGGTTTTTAGACGTGCAGTGCGAGCAGGTAGATCGCATCAGAGCGTCGGGCCACACGGCGTGAAAACAAACATCGTGAGCTGAGAACTTCTAAACCTGCAGTTTTATCGTACAGTTTGAGCTGCAGCTGAATATGAAGATTAAAAAATATCGTACAGTGTACGCCCGGCTTAACCTGGAAAAACCTTTTCTCAACAAAGGAGGTGGTCTTAGACATAAGGGAGTCAACGACCAATCAGAAACCCCTAAAGACCCTTAACGGCCCCCCATGTGACCACCTTGGCCAATCCAGTAGGAGGGATCAAAGCCTGAGAATCTTCACAGGAAAGATAAATGTTTGAAATGTATCACTTTATGTGATACTTCCCTGAAATAAATGAGCCTTTCAAAGCAAGGAGTCGGGTTCTACTGAGCAGCACCGGGTTCTTGGTTTGACTCCTGCTGGTCTCATGGTGTTGCCATGGTGTTGGTCTGTTTAAGGCAGATCTTATAGTGAAGAAGCTTCATATTCAAGCATGTGGAAAATTAGAACTTTCCACTGAGGCTGAAGGATCTTCAACAAGTGTGCAGCTGAGAGAATTCCCTCTGCAGCCATCTGTGGGGGCGGCAGCACTGATTAAAAGCTCACTCTGTGGGGAACCGTCTCTCCATCCGCCTCTCTAATGAGATGCTAAAAAAATAAACATCTGCATTTTTATTTTTTACTCTGAAAAAGTCTCCACTGTTGGATGCACACCTTATGTTCTCCAAACTAATAATGAAAACTCCTTCAAAGGTTTAATATCATTATTAATTAGAATGGGCTGCATTGGGCCATTATTGTGCTGCAATCAAATAATTAGTCTTTGGTTCCAGCACTCACAGCATACAGACATTAAGTAGATGTACAATAACATGTGGAGTTTTGTTTTTGTTTTTTTATTGAATAAAAATAGATTTAATGAGTTTCTGAAAGTTTAATATTCCAATTTAGTTTCAGAGCTGTGAGGCTGATTAGTGTTTATGAGAGACAGCCTGCGAGAGCCAACTATCTGTGTGGTGGCTGCTTGTTCTAGAAACCCTCACATAACGGTGCATTCAAACAAAACGCCACAGAGTTTCTGAATGATTCTCAACCAATCTGCAGGGAAAACACAGCAGCATTACATCCAAATTACCTATTTTATAGAGGATTTAAAACAGAGAGCTGAACGCTGGTATGGATAATGGCGTCCCTGGGTGGGCCACATCCACTCCCGGTTAGCCAGTACTGTCCAGGACTCAGTATGAAGGACTGCTGTACCGCGACAGGGAGGTGGAGCTTTAGACAGAAACAAACTTGGCTTCCGCTGTGCTCCACTACCCTACATCACAATCTCAACCAGTTCCAGATTAATTCATGCGAGACAAATAGACTAAAGTTCAGTTTTTGAACTCGCAAACTTCTGTTTCGCTCTAACCACATTTACCACATCTAGCGCCATTTTGCTATCTCTAAACATCCAATTTGCGTCATCATATTGAAAAGCATTCTTTGCATCACCAACTGTTAATTGGCTCCTGAACATGAATGCAGATTAACCAATAAGTGTCCAACATGTCTGTGATATAAAGATGTTAACAGCTCTTCTTTTATCCCTGCAACTGTCTAAATTAGTTCTTATCCACAATTAATCTTTTATTTTTTTACATTTTGAAATAGGGACCCGGGGAATGCCTATTTAAACAAAACCTTTAAAAACAGGTTAGCCTGACCACCAACTCTGCTTAGTAAGGCTAAACCCCTTCCTCTGCCTACATCCCCGAGAAGGTTGTTCAGTGAAATTATAGATTATCCCATCAATAATCTACTAATTGATCGGGTGTCTATGGTGATATATATGGTTATTGTTTCATCGTTTATCACTGGATGGAGGGAAGATTGGCACCTTTGGGCCTCTCTATAGACATAATGGCTTCAGTTTTTACCTGAGCTGTTTTATGGATGATAGACTACAGCTCAGACTAAATGTTGGTGGATGTATTAAAGACCACTTGAATTCTGAATGTTGTTATTTAAATAAATCCATCAACAACTTTTCTTTAACCTTTAAATTTGTGGTTCCTCCCGTTTGCCAAGATTGGCCGTTTCTCTTTTTGTATACACTCATGTATGCAAAATGACAAAATAAATCTCTCCAAGTCTTCGCAATTCACAAGAACGCAAGTATGGACTCATGTCCTCGCCAGGTTAGCGTTAGCCCTCGCTGCTGCAGACGGGCCAACATTAGCCCTGGCCGCTGCAGACGAGCCTACGTTAGCTCTGGCCGCTGCAGACGAGCCAACGTTAGCCCTGGCCGCTGCAGACAGGCCAACGTTAGCCCTGGCCGCTGCAGACGGGCCAACGTTAGCCCTGGCCGCTGCAGACGGGCCAACGTTAGCCCTCGCTGCTGCAGACGGGCCAACGTTAGCCCCGGGCCGCTGCAGACGAGCTTACGTTAGCTCTGGCCGCTGCAGACGGGCCAACGTTAGCCCTGGCCGCTGCAGACGGGCTATCGTTAGCCCTGGCCGCTGCAGACGGGCTATCGTTAGCCCTGGCCGCTGCAGACGGGCTATCGTTAGCCCTGGCCGCTGCAGACGGGCTATCGTTAGCCCTGGCCGCTGCAGACGGGCCAACGTTAGCCCTGGCACCTGCAGACGGGCCAACGTTAGCCCTGGCCGCTGCAGACGGGCCAACGTTAGCCCTGGCACCTGCAGACAAGCTTACGTTAGTCCTGGCACCTGCAGACAAGCTTACGTTAGCCCCGGGCCGCTGCAGACGAGCTTACGTTAGCTCTGGCCGCTGCAGACGGGCCAACGTTAGCCCTGGCCGCTGCAGACGGGCTATCGTTAGCCCTGGCCGCTGCAGACGGGCTATCGTTAGCCCTGGCCGCTGCAGACGGGCTATCGTTAGCCCTGGCCGCTGCAGACGGGCTATCGTTAGCCCTGGCCGCTGCAGACGGGCTATGGTTAGCCCTGGCCGCTGCAGACGGGCCAACGTTAGCCCTGGCCGCTGCAGACGGGCCAACGTTAGCCCTGGCACCTGCAGACAAGCTTACGTTAGTCCTGGCACCTGCAGACAAGCTTACGTTAGCCCTGGCTGCTGCAGACGAGCTTACGTTAGCCCTGGCTGCTGCAGACGAGCTAATGTTAGCCCTGGCAACTGCAGACCAGCTTACGTTAGCCCTGGCGGCTGCAGACGAGCTTACGTTAGCCCTGGCGGCTGCAGACGAGCTTACGTTAGCCCTGGCGGCTGCAGACGAGCTTACGTTAGCCCTGGCGGCTGCAGACGAGCTTACGTTATCCCTGGCGGCTGCAGAAGAGCTAATGTTAGCCCTAGCTGCTATAGACCGGGTAACTTTTTCCCGGGCTGCGGCAGATGGGCTAACATTAGCCCTGGCTGCCCTTAGTCTCGGGGGTCTGCTGGTTTCCGTGGTCCTCTCAACATCTGAACTTTTAAATTATGCATTAAATCAGTAAATGAGCCATATAGCGAAGCCTAGAGTGTAATGTTCTTCCCTTGAATTATCTTAAAACGTACCTTTATAGAACAGCAACAGAAAACAGAACTTTTAACTTAATACTGGAAGCTGCTTCTGCCGCAGTGCATGCTGGGACAGCTGTTAGTCTGGAGAACGGACAGGTCTGCTCTGATGCATGCTGGGTAAAGAGGGAGGGGCCAGAACAACATCTGTGGACTTTGTCTGTTCTCGGTCTGCTGTTCTTGGTGATTGGAACAGAACTAGGATTGAGGCTGATGACTAGGACATTAGAACACAACATAGTACACAGATTGAGAAACTGCCTGTGGTTTTCCTCTGCATGCATAACTGATTGGATGGAGGAGGAGAAAAAAGGCCCTGATTGGTCAAAGGAGGAGAAACTTGCAGCATGAGGAGAATATTCAACTAACAGTTTCCATCCATTGGAACAAACTGATCAAAAATGCAAAGCGTAATGACATCATAGGTTTAGGATATGCTTGGCTGTAGCAAACAGGAAGCAGAGATAGCTAGCTAGTGGGAACCACAGTTTAATAGCATAGCCAGTTTTTAGTGAATGCGCTGCTGAACGGGTAGTTTTATCGACTACGATTAGCTAATGGTTCATTAAGTAAGTTGATTTTAAGTGTTTTTCTTTCCACCAAACTCCTTTAAAGAGAACAGCTTGAAGTCATGCAGTTCTAAATGTTCTGCTCCTAGAACCGGTATAGGTACCTGATCTGCTCAGGGCCCGCCACTTTTATCACGTCAACATACGGCAACTCCACTCGAACAAACTATATTGCACCTGTTTCTTCAGGATCAGATCTCTTTTGGAGCCTCAACATATTAAAACCTATATTTACAATTATTTCACATTTCATTGGCGATTTAAAGCAGTGGAAAGTAGAAAACAATCAGTTGTGAAATAAATTACTGCCTTCTGAGACAGACTGAGCTCTGCCCTTATTTATAAATATATAAAACGGCAAAATCCTTCATCATCTTTACCGTCGACAGGCTGCAGGCAATTTGGTTGAAATTAGCATTTTTCCCGTTCTCTAGCCTCCAGCTTCTTTTTCGAACATACGGCTTTTACGATCAACCACAAGCAGTTCTGCGCAAAAACGCGGAATCATTTATATACGATATCTGTGACCAAAATATAGCATTTTAAATGCCACGAGAATCACGTTTAATAAATTTTTACACCAATTAAGGCCTTAATCTAAAGAAATAATAATTTACTGACATCCATGAAGACAAATTATATGTCTTAATAAATGACTTTCGTAGAGATTGTAGACAAATAAAACACTTGGTCAGTTAGCTTAATATGGCTAACTGACTGAACTAAAAGAGGCTAACCTGTTAGCTACTGCTAGCCACAGCGCTACCCAGCTCTCCCCCTTTATATCATGGTCAAACAGTTACTTTGTTCACCAGAAAAATATTTTTTTCAGTTTTATTATTGATTAGGTAACACAAGCTAATGCTACAGATGCTACCACTGATGTGAGTTGTTTGGGAGGAACAGGAACACATTGGTGGACATGGCTACGGCTGGATGCTAACGTGTTTGCTAGCTGTCAGAATTCTGAGATTAAAGTCAGGATTCTGACCTTTTTCTCATATTATACTGAAATAAATCTTAAAAATCAGTTAATGTTTTTTTTCAGTGGTTCTAATCCTCTTTTGTAATAGAGCTATGAAGCTATCATGGTTTTATTGCCTACATAGATACCAGGCAATAGAACCATGATACCATTTCATTGGAACATCGCCACTTTTTATTGTTTTTGCTAAACAGGAAAGAAGATAGAATCAGATATGATCTGCAGCAATACACAACGATGCCAGAACAGTTCAACGGGAAACTGGAGTCACTTTTTTATTTCATAGATCAACAGAAGGTCAAAATATACTGATGGTATGCTTTGATCTTTAGCAGTAGGATGGAGTGGATAAAGGTGAAGCTAAAGGCTAACTAAGCTAACTATTCACATGCTTGTTGGACAGTTGAAATGACGCAGGATGAAAACTTTCATCCATAATCTGACCAATAATCCATAATTTCCAGATAAATAATTTATTAAATCCAAAATCTTTACAAATGCATTTAAAATATCCTTTTCTATATTATTTTTTTGAACGATCTGTTTTCCTCACCAGCTGGGGAACAACCTTTGAGGAGTGTTGGCAAACGGCAGCAGATGTTATCTCAGAGCAGCAAAACATCTGGAATATTGGATATCAGGGATTGACCTTATAAAAAGACAACCTTCAAAAAGCTGCGGCGGCTCGCCGCCTCCGAGGCTGCTGCTCTTTACCCATGAAAACGCACGTCAGCACATCGCCGCCAAACCAAAGTCACACAAACGGAGCTTTGCACTCTGGAAGAAAACGGAAGGTTGACTCTACGGCTGTCTGACCCGCGGGAACATCTGAGCCCCTCTATCAGCACTTAGACAATCGCCCTGAATCTCCACATGAAAACATCTGGAAGCTGATTAGGTGGCAGCAGGCCTTTCCTCTATGGACGCCGTTTGTAAAGTTAGGTGGTCAAAAATGTATATCTATGGTTATTTAGCGTCTTTTAAGAGAAAAATAAAGGCTTTATTTTTTCAATTTTTTCACTATGTCAGTCCTTCATTTAAAAAAATTTGACTAATTTATTATTCTAACTGCATATTTATTATTTTAACTAAATATTAAATTCATTTTCCACACTAAATAGTTCGGATTTGGATTTAAACATAAATTTTGTCTTTTTGAGTTTCAAGAGGAACTTTATTTTACTAATATTGGGTGTTTCTGTTCAAAAGTCATTATTTCTAAATGTTACTGTTATTTCTATTAGTTTTTCACACTTTTTGTTCTGTTTTTCAGATTGAGTTTTACAAATTTCATTCTTTAAGGAAGGAAGGAAGGAAGGAAGCAGCTGTGCTGTGGATCCAGGAAGCATGGTGGCGTTGAGCTCCCATCATGCAGTGCAGGTTACCTCTCCCAGGGCCTGCAGGGCCACGGTGGCGGCCATTGCCTTGGCGTGCTTCTTATTGGGGCTGGCGGTCTGCGGCTGGTAGTCCACGCCGTTCACCGTCACCTGGAGGCAGCGTAGCGTTAATAACTATGGAGGGAAATCTGCTCCATTATTATGGCAGCAGGAAAGAGTTTACAAATAGGTTTAAGAAAATAAAAGGAGAAACTGTTTTACTTATTGTTATTTCTGGTATGGTATTTATTTTTTTCCCTATTTAGGTTTTACAGATTTGAATATTATTGAATTTTACTTCTCAAATTTCTGTTTTTCAGACTGAGTTTTACAAATTGCATTATTTTCAAATTCATGGATCAAATTCTCTTCAGAGACAAAAAGAGAAATACATAAAAAAAAAAACAGCAAAGTTACCCTCAAACCTAGTTTTCATCAAAACAATTTTTAAGTCTTTCAAATTTCCAAAAAGACTAAATCTACTTTGATATATAAACAATGGAAATAATACGGATTAGAACAATTTCATAAAAAAAAGTTAATTTAGAAATAAATTATTTTTCTTTTTAAAATTGGATCATATTTTCAAACATTAAGACTAAATAGTGTTTTTTTCTTCCAATTAACTTTCCAATCAACTTAAGACTTAAAGAATTAATCTGAACTAAATTTTCAAGGATTCTTTCTAATAATTAATATTGATTAATCTCTAATATAGCCAACGCTAATAGAAACCGTCAAACGGACCTTGAAGAGGAAACTCTTGCGGTGATCCGGGCCGCTGTGGTTGACCATGACGAAGTCCGGCTGCACGATCCGTTTCTTGTTGCACAGCTCGATGAGAGCGGAGACCGGGTGCTTCCCTGCAAAACCATAGAAGAGCAGAAATCAGAGCAGCGCGGCGAGGAGGGGGCGGGGCGTTCGCACCCGTTTGATCAATAGACGCTTTCTGTCAGACTGACAGCATCTTTGAGGTGAAAACATCAACAAGGCAACAGATAAACATAAAACTCACAAAAAACAATCAGTTTTTACTTTCTGGATATTTTCTTTTATTTCCAGTTTTCTGTTCATTCTTTGTTTTAACCAGAAATCTCTTTTCTCAGAGTTCCTGGTTCATTCAGATTAAATCTGCTGCTTTAATCTGCAGCTAGCAGTTATTATATTCTCTCCAGGTTAGTAGGGGAATAGACTGAACTGGTTGAACTGGGAGGTCAAAAAGTGGAAGAAATGTGGATTTCTTTCTCCCTGCAGATACAGTTTTTTTTCCCACTTTTTTAGTTTTTACTAGTTTAATATTTTTAATTAAAAACTTTTTTTACTTCTGTTTTTCACATAGAATTTGACAAATTGCATTCCATTCAAAATCCTGCATCAGATATAAAAAAAAGACAATTTTTAATCTGAAAAGAAATTGAGGAAATAATAATAAATAAAAAAAATCAGAGAAAGCAGCAAAGTTACCTCCAAATATTTTTTCATTAAAAATATTAAAATTAATCAAGAATTTTAGTTAAAAAATAGAAAACTTCTAATCTGAAAAAAATAAAAAATTACTGATTAATCGATTTTTGATTCCATCGATATTTGAATTCTAGTTAGATTTAACGAGACAATTCCAGAGAAACTCAGAGGAAGTTTTTTTGTGTTACGATAAAGCCTGTTTTAGAGTCTCTACACTTCAGTTAACGATTAATCGATTACTAAATCAGTTTACGATTATTTCAATATCGATTAATCCGATGAATTGTTTCAGTGCTATTTGAGTGAGCGAGTTAAGAGTCGCGCTAACATCGGTGCGCTAACATCGCTAGGCTAAACCAAAACCACCCTTAGCTACACTTTCATCAACGTTTGAATTCTACGTAGATTTAATGAAAATGCGACAATTCCTGAAAAACTCAGAAGAATTTTTTTGTGTTATGATGACAAAGCCTTTTTCAGAGTCTCTACACTTCAGTTACGATTAATCTATTACTCAATTAGTTTCGCGCTGCTCAGTGGCGCAGTGGGTAGCACTGCCAAACGCAGCAAGAATAAGAAGGTTCGATTCCTGGCCCGGGGTTTTTCTTCCTGGAGTTTGCATGTTCTCCCTGAGCATGGTGGGTTCTCTCTGGGTACTCTGCCTTCCTCCCACAGTCCAAAAACATGACTGTCAGGTTAATTGGCTTCTCTAAATTCTCCTTAGGTGTGAGTGCATGTATGAATGGTTGTTTGTTGTGTTGCCCTGCGATGGACTGGAGACCTTTTCAGGGCTCCGCCTCTCACCCATTGACAGCTGGAGATAGAAACCAGCACCCCTCATGACCCCACTTGGGATAAGCTTGCTATTAAATGGATGGATAAAGTAGTTAACCATTATTTCAATAATCGATTAATCCAAATAATTGTTTCAGCACTATTTGAGTGAGCGAGTTAGAGTTCAGTTATGAAAAGAGTAGCACTACGCTAACATCACTGGTTTGGACCGAAACCATCCTTAGCTACGCTTCCACCAACGGTTGAATTCTACGTAGATTTAATGGAAACGCGACAATTCCTCAGAAACTCCGAAGAAGTTTTTTTTTTTATATACAATGAGGCGTTTTTCTCCCCCGTCCGAGTTGAAGTTTTTGGATTTTGCAAAAAAAAAAAAAAAAAAACTGAAATGGAAGCATTTTCTGTACATAATTTGTTTTAACCAGAAGTTGAATCAATCACACTCCTTTTCTCACGTTAAAGTGCGGCGCACCGCTCTGGTTCTTAAGAAGCGGTTTCATTGAATCTGATTTCTACGGGGCCGTTGTTGAAAGCCATGTCTCTGTTAACCTGTCGTGGTTTAGGTTTTTAAAAAGTGTCTGATGGTATATAATACTTCTAGGAAGCATTTTGGTTGTTTTAGGAGGGTTAGGGTTAACCCAAATAGCACTACGATGCCCACTGATGTTTTAATGCAAGTTAGCATTATGCTAACTAAATTTTTTCTTTTATTTGCACGCGCCTCACTCACACTCCTTTTCTCATGCTAAGGTGGGGCGCACTGCTAAAATATGGTAACAAGGAAGGCAGGGAGGGAGTTTAGATAAACTGCTCCAGTTTTAGATCAAGTATTGTAAAAATTAATGACTCTGATTTACTGAGTGAAATAAAGAGATATCTTAATTTTCCACTTTTCCTCAGTAGCTAGCAGAATCTCCCTAAAACAGGAGCTCATATTCTTCCTTTTAAACCTTTACGAAGCTCTATGGGCCTTAGAAAACGTGCTTATTGCATCTTTTGCATAAAATCAATCTTAGCTAATGAGATTTTAAGCCCTTTCAGAATGCGCCACTCTGTGACTCAAAGCCAAAAAAGCTGCAGCTATTTGAGTTGCTAGCTGAATGTATGGGGGCATGGCTAGCACTTTGGACACGCGAAAATGTCTGCATGAAGACGCAGAGTAGCGCATCTCTGATCTTCCAAGTCTGAAGCTAAAGAAGCGGTTTCAGAACGGTCAATAAGTCAGATTTCTGCGGGGCCGATGTTGAAAGCCATGTCTCTGTTAACCTGTCCGGGTTTAGGTTTTTATGTTGGATGTCGTATAACACTTCTAGGAAGATTTTTGGTTGTTTTAGGCAGGAACAAATCTGAGGAAAACAACAACAAAAAAAAAACACTAGCATGCCCATTGGATTTTTAATGCTAGTTAGCATCATGCTAACTAAATTTTCACATATGCAGCTCAGAATTAGCCACATGTGTCCGTGTTGAAGAAGGGGAAACCCTCATCATGCAGAGTTTTGTGAGTTTTTGAATTTCAGCCCAGGTTGGTTTGGAGCTTTAGATCATCAATGACGATCCGATCAAAGTAAGACACGAAGGTATCATTTAAATGTTTTACACTGGAACATCGGGATGCAGATGCGTAGATTGAATCGTAAACAGTGAATGTGTTACCCATCAGGTCCTTGGTAACAACCAGCCCTCCTGTTTGCTTCTGTGGCTTTTCTCCCTCAGCAACAAGACCTGGAAGATAAAAATTATTGGCTCAAGAACTCGGTCCTATCCTGATCATCCGCCTTAAACCTGCCTAAAGAGTCCATCAGTGGGACGTGGAAGACAGCGGGAGATTAAACAGGAAGTGGTGAATTTCATTCATTCTAAAATGGCCGCCTAATGATTTAAAAGAGAAAGGGAGAAACTTGTTCAGACCTTTTCTGTCCACTTTGAAGTCGATGACGATGGGTTCCACCGTCCCCTCGCGGTTCCTCCCTAAGCCCTCGCCCGTCCTCCAGCCCATCTTCCTCATGAGGAACTCACCCACACCCCCCGACACCGGAGCCGCCCTTAGGAACTGGTCCTGTTCAGAGCAGACAGAGGAACGGGGTGAGAGACTCGAGTCTGACCCGGTCCGGACTCTACATCTCGCTGCCCTCATACAGTCATTTCCTGCTTTCCTTTTGGTCCTTATGCTATTTTGGTGTCATTCTCTGACTGTGGAGGTGGAAGAGCGGCTGGCAGCTGGACGGATAAAAACCGCCTCATTAAAGTGGAGAGCGGCTGCCATCGGCCTCAGAGTCCAGCTAAGGTCAGTCAGGACGTTCTGATGGACATAGACCCTCATTTGATGGTGACAGCTGGGTTATTCTGCAAAGCAAGCAGCTTCTCGGAAGTTTCCCTCCCATCTTTCACGCCAAACTAGTTTCAGGCGTCAGAAAGACATCAAACCGCCTCGTCTTGTCCGACGTCTCTGTGTTCAATCAGATGCGATAAAGAGACGCTTCGTTTGCTGTGATGACTGAGACAGAAAAGGAGATTTAAGGTGTTTTAAAGGGAAAAGTCCACCTTAAACATCCTCCATGCAGTCAGTTTATCAGGTTCCTTATTGCTCCCTCCCTCCTTCCAGCCTTTCTGGGATTCCTGCTGCTGTAATGATATCAGCCTTTTGATATTTTATGCAGGTTTTATAAACTTTTTTCTCACACTAAATTAATTAAATCACAGCAAACGTATTAGTTTTGGTATAAATAATGATCCATTGGGCTTTTCTTTCTACATAATAAAACACATCTTGTTATTTTCTGTAAAACTATTTGTTCATAACACCTTTAAATATATTCAGATTTTATCCTGATCCAACCGGAGTCTCTAAGGGGGGTGAAGGAGTGCATGCTGGGAAATCAGCTTGTATGATGAGCTTCGATGATCTGAGAAGTGGAATGCATGAAGCTCCACATGGAGGAGATGAGTCTCACCTTCTTGAGCCAGGCCTGCGGTCCGCTGGTGGACAGCTCCTCTGAGCGGAGAACCTGAGCTCCAGTAGAACCAGTGAACAGACCGGGAACGTTACTGGACTGAGCCCATGCGTCCACCTGTTGGGAAAACGTTAGCATTAGCTAAAATCTGCAGAGTTTAGCTAATTTATAAGAACGCTTCTCTACCTGCTCCTGCGCGCGGCTCAGCATACAAATGGCGCTGATGTCATAGGGGTTCTCAGCCAATCGCCTCTGAGCTTTGATTCGCTCCGTCACGGCCTGGGAGATGTCCACGGGCTGAGGAGAGAGGAGACCAAGGCTAAGTCATGATTGTTGTTATTTCAGAACCAAACAGCTCTGAGTTTCAGAACCATTACATGCTGACCGGAGGTGGCAGCCTCCCCCTGCTGTTAGCCCGTCATGCTAAACCGCTAAAATCTGAACTAAACTTAAGTCTTCCAAAGCGGACATGGGCTGAGAAAAGGTCTGGCACAGTTGGGCTATTTAATCTGTTTTTTTGATGATCCTTGATCATTAGATATGGTTGAGAATAGGCAAAGCTAACAAGGTGGGCCGAATGGTACGCTATGCTAACATCTCTCAGCTGTTGCGCATAAAGCTAAAACGAGTTTTAAAATCTGATATAACGTCAGTGTTCATGTGTTTTCTCATACGCTCATTACACTTCGATTACTAAATTATGACCGAAAGTCCTTCAATGGGAATCCTCATGACGGCTAGATGCTAGCTCACTCACAAAACAGGGTTTCCTCCTCATGACGGCTAGATGCTAGCTCACTCACAAAACAGGGTTTCCTCCTCATGATGGCTAGATGCTAGCTCACTCACAAAACAGGGTTTCCTCCTCATGACGGCTAGATGCTAGCACACTCACAAAACAGGGTTTCCTCCTCATGACGGCTAGATGCTAGCTCACTCACAAAACAGGGTTTCCTCCTCATGACCGCTAGATGCTAGCTCACTCACTAAACAGGGTTTCCTCCTCATGACGGCTAGATGCTAGCTCACTCACTAAACAGGGTTTCCTCCTCATGACGGCTAGATGCTAGCTCACTCACAAAACAGGGTTTCCTCCTCATGACGGCTAGATGCTAGCTCATTCACAAAACAGGGTTTCCTCCTCATGACGGCTAGATGCTAGCTCATTCACAAAACAGGGTTTCCTCCTCATGACGGCTAGATGCTAGCTCACTCACAAAACAGGGTGTCCTCCTCATGATGGCTAGATGCTAGCTCACTCACAAAACAGGGTTTCCTCCTCATGACGGCTAGATGCTGGCACACTCACAAAACAGGGTTTCCTGCTCATGACGGCTAGATGCTAGCTCACTCACTAAACAGGGTTTCCTCCTCATGACGGCTAGATGCTAGCTCACTCACTAAACAGGGTTTCCTCCTCATGACGGCTAGATGCTAGCTCACTCACTAAACAGGGTTTCCTCCTCATGACGGCTAGATGCTAGCTCACTCACAAAACAGGGTTTCCTCCTCATGACGGCTAGATGCTAGCTCATTCACAAAACAGGGTTTCCTCCTCATGACGGCTAGATGCTAGCTCACTCACAAAACAGGGTGTCCTCCTCATGACGGCTAGATGCTAGCTCACTCACAAAACAGGGTTTCCTCCTCATGAAAGCTAGATGCTAGCAAACTCACAAAACAGGGTTTCCTCCTCATGAAGGCTAGATGCTAACACACTCACAAAACAGGGTTTCCTCCTCGTGACGGCTAGATGCTAGCTCACTCACAAAACAGGGTTTCCTCCTCATGACGGCTAGATGCTAGCTCACTCACAAAACAGGGTTTCCTCCTCATGACGGCTAGATGCTAGCACACTCACAAAACAGGGTTTCCTCCTCATGACGGCTAGATGCTAGCTCACTGACAAAACAGGGTTTCCTCCTCATGAAAGCTAGATGCTAGCACACTCACAAAACAGGGTTTCCTCCTCATGACGGCTAGATGCTAGCTCACTCACAAAACAGGGTTTCCTCCTCATGACGGCTAGATGCTAGCTCACTCACAAAACAGGGTTTCCTCCTCATGACGGCTAGATGCTAGCTCACTCACAAAACAGGGTTTCCTCCTCATGACGGCTAGATGCTAGCTCACTCACAAAACAGGGTTTCCTCCTCATGACGGCTAGATGCTAGCTCACTCACAAAACAGGGTTTCCTCCTCATGACGGCTAGATGCTAGCTCACTCACAAAACAGGGTTTCCTCCTCATGACGGCTAGATGCTAGCTCACTCACAAAACAGGGTTTCCTCCTCATGACGGCTAGATGCTAGCTCACTCACAAAACAGGGTTTCCTCCTCATGACGGCTAGATGCTAGCTCACTCACAAAACAGGGTTTCCTCCTCATGACGGCTAGATGCTAGCTCACTCACAAAACAGGGTTTCCTCCTCATGACGGCTAGATGCTAGCTCACTCACAAAACAGGGTTTCCTCCTCATGACGGCTAGATGCTAGCTCACTCACAAAACAGGGTTTCCTCCTCATGACGGCTAGATGCTAGCTCACTCACAAAACAGGGTTTCCTCCTCATGACGGCTAGATGCTAGCTCACTCACAAAACAGGGTTTCCTCCTCATGACGGCTAGATGCTAGCTCACTCACAAAACAGGGTTTCCTCCTCATGACGGCTAGATGCTAGCTCACTCACAAAACAGGGTTTCCTCCTCATGACGGCTAGATGCTAGCTCACTCACAAAACAGGGTTTCCTCCTCATGACGGCTAGATGCTAGCTCACTCACAAAACAGGGTTTCCTCCTCATGACGGCTAGATGCTAGCTCACTCACAAAACAGGGTTTCCTCCTCATGACGGCTAGATGCTAGCTCACTCACAAAACAGGGTTTCCTCCTCATGACGGCTAGATGCTAGCTCACTCACAAAACAGGGTTTCCTCCTCATGACGGCTAGATGCTAGCTCACTCACAAAACAGGGTTTCCTCCTCATGACGGCTAGATGCTAGCTCACTCACAAAACAGGGTTTCCTCCTCATGACGGCTAGATGCTAGCTCACTCACAAAACAGGGTTTCCTCCTCATGACGGCTAGATGCTAGCTCACTCACAAAACAGGGTTTCCTCCTCATGACGGCTAGATGCTAGCTCACTCACAAAACAGGGTTTCCTCCTCATGACGGCTAGATGCTAGCTCACTCACAAAACAGGGTTTCCTCCTCATGACGGCTAGATGCTAGCTCACTCACAAAACAGGGTTTCCTCCTCATGACGGCTAGATGCTAGCTCACTCACAAAACAGGGTTTCCTCCTCATGACGGCTAGATGCTAGCTCACTCACAAAACAGGGTTTCCTCCTCATGACGGCTAGATGCTAGCTCACTCACAAAACAGGGTTTCCTCCTCATGACGGCTAGATGCTAGCTCACTCACAAAACAGGGTTTCCTCCTCATGACGGCTAGATGCTAGCTCACTCACAAAACAGGGTTTCCTCCTCATGACGGCTAGATGCTAGCTCACTCACAAAACAGGGTTTCCTCCTCATGACGGCTAGATGCTAGCTCACTCACAAAACAGGGTTTCCTCCTCATGACGGCTAGATGCTAGCTCACTCACAAAACAGGGTTTCCTCCTCATGACGGCTAGATGCTAGCTCACTCACAAAACAGGGTTTCCTCCTCATGACGGCTAGATGCTAGCTCACTCACAAAACAGGGTTTCCTCCTCATGACGGCTAGATGCTAGCTCACTCACAAAACAGCGGTTTCCTCCTCATGACGGCTAGATGCTAGCTCACTCACAAAACAGGGTTTCCTCCTCATGACGGCTAGATGCTAGCTCGCTCACAAAACAGGGTTTCCTCCTCATGACGGCTAGATGCTAGCTCACTCACAAAACAGGGTTTCCTCCTCATGACGGCTAGATGCTAGCTCACTCACAAAACAGGGTTTCCTCCTCATGACGGCTAGATGCTAGCTCACTCACAAAACAGGGTTTCCTCCTCATGACGGCTAGATGCTAGCTCACTCACAAAACAGGGTTTCCTCCTCATGACGGCTAGATGCTAGCTCACTCACAAAACAGGGTTTCCTCCTCATGACGGCTAGATGCTAGCTCACTCACAAAACAGGGTTTCCTCCTCATGACGGCTAGATGCTAGCTCACTCACAAAACAGGGTTTCCTCCTCATGACGGCTAGATGCTAGCTCACTCACAAAACAGGGTTTCCTCCTCATGACGGCTAGATGCTAGCTCACTCACAAAACAGGGTTTCCTCCTCATGACGGCTAGATGCTAGCTCACTCACAAAACAGGGTTTCCTCCTCATGACGGCTTGATGCTAGCTCACTCACAAAACAGGCGTTTCCTCCTCATGACGGCTAGATGCTAGCTCACTCACAAAACAGCGGTTTCCTCCTCATGACGGCTAGATGCTAGCTCACTCACAAAACAGCGTTTCCTCCTCATGACGGCTAGATGCTAGCTCACTCACAAAACAGGGTTTCCTCCTCATGACGGCTAGATGCTAGCTCACTCACAAAACACGGTTTCCTCCTCATGACGGCTAGATGCTAGCTCACTCACAAAACAGGGTTTCCTCCTCATGACGGCTAGATGCTAGCTCACTCACAAAACAGGGTTTCCTCCTCATGACGGCTAGATGCTAGCTCACTCACAAAACAGGGTTTCCTCCTCATGACGGCTTGATGCTAGCTCACTCACAAAACAGGGTTTCCTCCTCATGACGGCTAGATGCTAGCTCACTCACAAAACAGGGTTTCCTCCTCATGACGGCTAGATGCTAGCTCACTCACAAAACAGCGTTTCCTCCTCATGACGGCTAGATGCTAGCTCACTCACAAAACAGGGTTTCCTCCTCATGACGGCTAGATGCTAGCTGGCTCACAAAACAGGGTTTCCTCCTCATGACGGCTAGATGCTAGCTCACTCACAAAACAGGGTTTCCTCCTCATGACGGCTAGATGCTAGCTGGCTCACAAAACAGGGTTTCCTCCTCATGACGGCTAGATGCTAGCTCACTCACAAAACAGGGTTTCCTCCTCATGACGGCTAGATGCTAGCTCACTCACAAAACACGGTTTCCTCCTCATGACGGCTAGATGCTAGCTCACTCACAAAACAGGGTTTCCTCCTCATGACGGCTAGATGCTAGCTCACTCACAAAACAGGGTTTCCTCCTCATGACGGCTAGATGCTAGCTCACTCACAAAACAGGGTTTCCTCCTCATGAAGGCTAGATGCTAGCTCACTCACAAAACAGGGTTTCCTCCTCATGACGGCTAGATGCTAGCTCACTCACAAAACAGGGTTTCCTCCTCATGACGGCTAGATGCTAGCTCACTCACAAAACAGGGTTTCCTCCTCATGACGGCTTGATGCTAGCTCACTCACAAAACAGCGTTTCCTCCTCATGACGGCTAGATGCTAGCTCACTCACAAAACAGCGTTTCCTCCTCATGACGGCTAGATGCTAGCTCACTCACAAAACAGCGTTTCCTCCTCATGATGGCTAGATGCTAGCTCACTCACAAAACAGGGTTTCCTCCTCATGACGGCTAGATGCTAGCTCACTCACAAAACACGGTTTCCTCCTCATGACGGCTAGATGCTAGCTCACTCACAAAACAGGGTTTCCTCCTCATGACGGCTAGATGCTAGCTGGCTCACAAAACAGGGTTTCCATGGTTTATTGAAAATAATTAAAATTCTTTAGTCGTAGGGAAGCGGCCATTCCAACTATTGCATTTCTGAATTCTCCCAAGTGGTGCCCGACTTTACATGAGTGAATAAAGGGAATGTGGTTGGTCGATTTTTAAAATTGGGCGGGTTCCCAAGCAAGTTTGGTTGTGGCCGGTTTGTGGGAAGCATTTTGCTAACCAGTTAGCATCTTAGTGCTAACAGGTTCCCAATGGGAAATTCCATTGGGACCAAGTAGCACTAAATTGGTGACTTAGAAACGACGCTGTCAAGAAACGCTATGGACAGAGGAAACATGCAAGAGGAGGAGAGTTTAGTGTCGGAGGTCGTGGATGAGTCTCCTCCGTCATCCATTTTTTATTTAGAGGAGGAAAGCGGGGACGAAGATGTTGTGGAAGAGGACGCCAGGGCGGCAGAAGCTTGGTTTGGTGTAGAAGGCTTCCAGCCGTACATGTTTGAGCCCTCGCCTCGCAACGCTGCCAGTTCTGTTAGCTCTACGCCTGCCGAAGACACAGACGTCCATCCCCGTGAACACTGGGACGCAACTCAATGGGAAAGGAAAGGATTCTGATTTCAACCTTTGCGTATATTAGCTGCGACATATGAATCAAGATGCTATGACATATCAGTATTACCAGACTTTACCTTTACCTTTACGTTAAACATGTTCTACTTTCTTTCTTTTTTCTCCTAAATGCACTAACCGAGGCAGACGTCCTCCACCACAAAGGTCTCCTTGATCTTATTCTAAGTGTATAATAACTCATTATCTCCCTTTCCTGGGCAGAAATGCTCCTATTTGCTGAAATGAGGAGCAAACACTTTAGATCAGTGAAGTGCAGCTCCGATGAGTCGGATCTAACTTTGCCTTTTCACTCAGCACAGCTCTGATTGAACATCGGCCGCTCCGTCTTAAACAAACCATTACATCCTTTAGGTGACGGATCTCGGATGCTCTGCCGTTAAGTTTCTTGGAATCAAAGTCCAGTGGATTGATTTTAACTTTTTCTGGAATGATTATGACATGGATGATGAGAATCTTCACCAGCAGATTCCAGCTGGAAGCAGACATATTTGCTCCTCCACTCAGATGTAAATGAAACCAGCAGCAGCAGCATCAGGGGCAGCTAACCGTCTGTGTGTTGTCAGAGATGCGTGATCGCTGTCAGCGCTGATGGCTGATCTCATTACTCCCCCCCCCCCTACAGCCCACCCGCTCGCTTGTCAAACACCAGGAGCAGCTGCTTCCTGCTCCCATCACCTCGGCTGGCTGGGTGACCTCTGACCTCTGCAGCTCCTCCTCCGTCTTTAGAGCTCATCAACGCCACGAGGCGTTAAGTCATCAAACCCTTCCTAGCGCAGGAAGGCCTATGTGTCATCACCCTAATCCTTTGTAAAAATATCCTTCATTCCACCAAACACCAAAATATGTTGCTTATTAGACATTTCTCAAAATTTAAAGAGCTAAACAAAAAGAATAAACATATAATTTTAGATCTAAATGGTGTTTATCAGTTTTTATTTATAAAGGGATGAACTTCAGAAACTGAACAGAACTGGCTTAAAGAAGTCTAGCACCACCTGCTGGTTCAGAAGTGAACCGACATGTGGATCTGTGGAATTTTTATCAACTAAGATAAAACATTACATCTTTTTTTGTTAGATTAAAGTGGTTAAAACACCAAACTGTGGCTAAATAAAGGTTTATATGGACAGGTCTCAGGTTTCAGCAGTGGTGGTCAGTCAGGGCCTTCAAAGGAACAAACTTTCATTTCTTCTTTCCAACTGTACTAATTTATTCCAAACAATCCGTTATCTTCATTACATTTACCTGGTTGTTAGATTTTTCGTCCAATCAGATTATAGCCTCAGTGTGTTGCTATGTCATCTAATCTGCCCAGCGCCTTCAGCATCAGCAGAGCTGGCTAATGTTACCACCAATCAGATTTTATATTTAGAGTCCTGCCTCTACGTCAGGATTTTCTGTCCTCTGATTGGTCGGTTAGCGCTAAATCGGCAGGTTAGGCTAGCGACATGCTAGTGAAGTCATCCAGGTCATTATCATTTCTAAAAAGTTAAAATCAATCGGCTGGACTTTGTTTCCAAGTTTGAAGACGTTTCTCTTCCATCCAGGAAGCTTTTCAAAAAGTCTTACCTGCTGCCGTGTTTCCGGGAACACGCTATCGCTGTCGGGAAGCGGCGGTGGCTGCTGCTCGCCGACGTCTGCTAACCCTGGATCCGCCACAGCCGCGTCACACGCCGCTGGGGGGGCCTTCTTGGAAGGAAAAGTAGCTTTCTCAGCCGTCTTCTCCACTGGAACCCACTCTCCATAGGCCACCACTCCCTCGCCCTCCTACGGGTCACCATACGCCACGTTATAAGAGAGAAATGGCTTGAAACAAAGAGAGAATGAACCTGGTCTCATCCAGACCTTCTTACGATGCTGGGACCCCGACGACACAGGAAACTCCTTGGCCATGTCTACGTCGCTCCACGCCGACGGGCGCACCGTCGTGTTCTGACGGTGACAGAAAAACAAAAGCATTTCCAAGTTATTAAACCCATTTTTATCATTTTGATTGTTCTGTTTTCAACATATTTGAACTTTCTGGGCAACAGAAAACCTTCAGATCCACCAATCAGTTTTAAGACCCCTTCAAATGGCTGCTGTACACGAAAACTAAATTCATCTTTAGAAAAATAACATTTTTTAATTGGTGTACAGCTCATAATGCTGCGCACTTATCAAGTAATTAACACACAGCTGAACAAATCAACTCCACAACCATCATGTCTGCATGCAGCACATTAGAATGGCATTTAATCCATTAACATTTATGATTTATTTGACCTTAAACTGAGAAATTAAACCTTTTTAAAATCAACACCAGCATGTTAACTGCAGAGAATCAGGGCTGAATTTGATAAAGCTTCTAGTTAGAGTGGCTCAGGTTATCCTGAGCTATCTCTATAGTTCTGCTGCTATAAGCTTATACTGCTGGAGGACATAGGGACCCCTTTTTCATCATTCTATCTCTATTCTCCCACTCTGCAGAATCTATTAGTTCAATCTCTAACGTTCTGCTCTCTCTGCTTTTTCTCATAGTAGCTTCATCTGGTCTGTTCCTGTTTGGCTGTGACTCCATCCTGGAGAGAAATATCAGCTGTGCTGCTGCCATCAACACCTTTGTTTCTAGATGTTGGAGCTTGGCCTGTTTTCCAGTGTAGTCCTGTTTCTCTGACTGTGACTAACTGGATGTGATATAAAAAAAAAAAATCTGATTCTGATGTAGAACAGTTTTAGTGGCTCGCTGGAGCAGGCCGAGCTGCCATTGTGGAACAAAACTAAGACTCTAGCTAATGTGCTAATTAGCCTTGTAAAGCTAAAGCTCGCGTTTCCTTTTCCAGAAGAGGGGGTTAACAGCCAGACCATGAGGCTGCTGTGGGTGATGTTTCTGAGGCTGTAGCAGCCCTGATTTTAAACAGGAGCTCTGTGACCATTCTAGCGTCCCTTCCAGCCACAGGGTGTAGCGCTAGCTTAACAGCATGTGGTCATAAAGCTAACTGTACACAAACTGATCCTGTCCCTAAAACGTTTCCACAGATCCATCAGAGTGGGACCATTAAAACTTCCCAAATGAACCATGGAGATGTTCCGATCCAGAGAGAGGAGTCCTGGAATCAGTGGTTCAGAGATTAGAAAGGAAATCAAACTTACACTTATATTGAAGTTGATGACTTTTTGTTCTCGAATGGCGGCTCCTCCGAAGAGTTTTCCATCGTCTTCTTCGTCTGAAACGTGAGGTAGGGCCACAGGAAGCTCTCCTGTGCTGTCTGCAATCATCTTGCATTTCTGAAAACAGAGAAAGTTTAAACCACTTCATCATTTTCCTCAGTCTGAGATTTCCAAACTTGTTAGCTTATCACTATTAGCTGAAGAAAATTTATTTTTCTCTATTAGTAGCATAATATATATATATATTATATATACAAATTTTTGCATCATTGTTTAGTATTAGTATTTAGCATCACTGTTAACATCATTGTTTTGCATTACTGTTTAGTTTCAGTTGTTAGCATAACTCTGTAGGCTCATTTTTTACATCATTGTTTAGCATTACTGTTTGGCATTACTGGTTAGCATCACTGCTTAGCATCAGAGTGTTTAGCGCCACTTTTTAGCAGCACTATTAAGCCTAATATTTTGCATCATTGTTTAACATCATTGTGTAGCCTCATTTAATAGCATCACTGCTTAGCATTAGTGTTTTTGGGGTCAATTTTAGCATCACTGTTTAGCATCCTTTAGCATTATTGTTTAGCATCATTTAGCATTACTGTTTAGCATCATTTAGCATTACTGTTAACCCTCACTTGTTAGCATCACTGTTTAGCATCATTGTTAAGCATTACTGTTTAGCATCATTGTTTAGCATCACTGTTTAGCATAATTGTTTAGCATCACCGTTTAGCATCATTGTGCATTACTGTTAACCTTCACTTGTTAGCATCACTGTTTAGCATAATTGTTTAGCATCACTGTTTAGCATCATTTAGCATTACTGTTAACCTTCACTTGTTAGCATCACTGTTTAGCATAATTGTTTAGCATCACTGTTTAGCATCGTTTAGCATTACTGTTAACCTTCACTTGTTAGCATCACCGTTTAGCCTAATTTCTTTGCATCGTTTAGCCTAATTTTGTAGCATCAATGTTTAGCATCACTGTTTTTAGCACCACTACTGCCCTGTTTTGTTTCTTCTGCTTTTAATGACAATTAATTTCTGATTAATTAGGACAGAGTAGATTCTGTGCGAAATCATCTTCAGCCAAAACCCTTCAGTCCTAAAATAATTTATAATTTTTTTTTTTTTAACATATAGGACCAAACTTTAAACACATTTAGAAAGCATCTGATCCAGGCTCTTACATCAGTAAACTCCTTAATGCTAATACTGTTAGCCTGCTTTGCCACTTTCCTCTTCACTTCCTCCAGGGCGGCCATGTTGGCCTGGACGGGCTTGTTACTGACAGAGGGCACCGGCAGCAGCCAGGACAGAGTTCCCATGTTGGACAGCGCCGCCGTCACAGAAGCTGCAGAGACGGAGACGGAGGCTCAGACAGCAGCGGATAAAACGTAGCAGAGACTCGTTAAATCAGCCATCATCCGTACCGGCGGTCATGCTGGCCATGGCAGCGTTCATGGCTACGCCGGGCAGCGCCAGAGGCAGCATGGCCGACCTGAGGCTGGCGGGGACGGGCATGCCGGCCTTCACACACATGGCGGCGGCGTTGGCCTTGGCTATTTCCAGGAGCTGCTCCTTATCTGAGGAAACAAACAGAGACGTTGAGCCGCGGCGGCGTTCGCCCAGCGCCGAGACAGACGGCAGGGATGCGGAACATCTCACCCAGTTCACTGATGCGCTTGGGGCTGGCGCTGCGCTCCTTCCTCGGAGGCGACCGCTTCTTGCGCAGGATGAGAAGGGGGGAGCGGCTGGGCTCGCGTTTCCAGCGGTCCCTCTGGCTGTAGGGGGGCCTCCTGCGGCCACGCGACGCCGAGCGTGAGCGGGTTCTCCGGGAGGACCGGTGGGCTGACCTACACACCAACCGAAATAGCAACGTTAGCTCAGAGCTAAAGATGGTCGCAGAGGAAGAAGCACCACCCCTACCTTGACCTGGACTTCCTCCTCGCAGAGCGGCTCCTGGACTTGGACTTCCTCCTCGCCGAGCGGCTCCCGGACCTGGACTTCCTCCTTGCAGAGCGGCTCCCGGACCTGGACTTCCTCCTTGCAGAGCGGCTCCTGGACTTAGACTTCCTCCTTGCCGAGCGGCTCCTGGACCTGGACTTCCTCCTTGCCGAGCGGCTCCTGGACCTGGACTTCCTCCTTGCCGAGCGGCTCCTGGACTTAGACTTCCTCCTTGCCGAGCGGCTCCTGGACTTCCTCCTTGCCGAGCGGCTCCTGGACTTCCTCCTTGCCGAGCGGCTCCTGGACTTCCTCCTTGCCGAGCGGCTCCTGGACTTCCTCCTTGCCGAGCGGCTCCTGGACTTCCTCCTTGCCGAGCGGCTCCTGGACTTCCTCCTTGCCGAGCGGCTTCTGGACTTCCTCCGGTAACTCCTGTAGGGGGATTTGGATCTTTTCCCCTTCTTGGATGACTTCCTTCCTCTGTCCTTGCGCGGGGACCTGGACCGAGTCCTTTTCTTCCCTGAAGGTGACCTGTCCTTGGACCTGGACTTTTCTGAGGCTTTAGGCTGAACGACGTTTGGCTTCTGGTCCGGTTCTACGGGTCTCTGCCGTTCAGATGAACCGGAACCTAAAACGTTCAGATTTGGACACATAAAACCATCAGAATGGGCGCTAAGGTCACTCTACCTTGGGCAGACAGTTAGGAACCAGAACCTTCAGAAGGTGAAGAAGAGCCAGAGGATTTGAATTTACCAGGAGACACTCTGGGATAAAGAGGGAAGCTAAGGATGTTGCTACCTGCTTCGGATCTTTAGAACCGGAGGAGAACATCTGGGCTGTAGGAAAGTAGAGCAGCTCTGTGTTGATTGATTTATGCTAGTACCGATTCAAGGTTCTCACCTGGTCTGTTGGAAGGGTCTGGATCGTTAGCCGACTCTGTCCTCTCCTCGGCCCGCGGGGACCTCTGGGACAAACCGAACTCTCTCTCAGGAGAACAAAGCCTCTCCGAGGGAACCACTTCGTGAGGATTTCCTCTCTGGTTCTCAGATAGCCTACAACACGCCAGAATAGAACTTCTGTGTTAGATATTACACCCAGGAGGAGGGATTGATGCAACTCGCAGCAATCCCCTCGCTTGGTTTTAATAGAGATCATTTAAAGCCGGGTATACACTCTGCGATTCTTTCAGTCATTATACAGAGCTACGGTTCGAACTTTACGATGAAACTGCAGGGTTTAAAAGTTCACAGCTCACCATGTACGTATGCAAACCAACGCGCTGATGCGACTTTAGGACGGCAGACCGTTATGTCTTCAGAACATAACGGTGAAAGTATTGAACGTGAAAACATCGCCTTCCCATATGTTTCTAGGGTCTCTGAAAATCTCAAACACAGAAGTGCGCCCTCCTCTGGAAAAGACTCTGGGTACATCTACACCTGATGGACAAAGACTGTCCAAAAAGTGAACATTCTGGTCCTCCAAAGACTAAGAAGACAGGTGATTTGAAAGGGGCGTGAAGGAAGCCATCTATGTTAAGACATTAAACAGAGGGGGGTGGATTCATTTATTCAGCCAGGCCAACAATTCCCTCTAATGACCCCCCTTTCAGAGACATAGACAGGTATGGGGCATTGCAGGCTAACAAAGAAGCCAAACGACCCCCATTCCAAGGGGGGGGACCCGTTCATCCGTTTCTATTTGCATGTTTTCTAAACTAAAACCAGGCTTTGTTGGGCTGCTGGATAAAGCCTGGAACTAAACACTATTTCTGACATTTTGAATTGAAAAATCTTCCTGGATGGAAGAGAAACGTCTTTAAACTTGGAAACAAAGTCCAGAGGATTGATTTGAACTTTTTTGGGGAATTTTCTCCCGACCTTACTATTCGTGATCGGGAGGTGGTCGTTAGAGGCTAATCACCCCTCGTTAGCCCCTGTATACTACACAACAAGCAAAGCGCCATCAGGCTGAAACTCTGCCCAATCGAAAAATGTCACATGGCTTGAGAACCGGCCCGAAAACTGCGAAAAATAAAATCGTACAGTGTATGCCCCGCTTAATTCTGACATTTTGAATTGAAAAATCTTCTTAGATGGAAAGTGAAAAGTCTTCAAACTTGGAAACAAAGTCCAGTGGATTGTCTTTTACTTTTTCCTGAATTTACGATTCCTGATCGGGAGGTGGTCGTGAGAAGCTAATCGTCCCTCGTTAGCCCCTGTATACTACACGACTCGCGATGAGGCTAAAACTTGGCCCAATCGAAAAATTCTCGCACGACAGGAAAATTGGCCTGAAAAGGAAAAAATAAAAAAAATCGTACAGTTTATGCCCGGCTTAATTCTGACGTTTGAATCGAAAAGCTTCCTGGATGGAACGCAAAACGTCTTTAAACTTAGAAACAAAGTCCAGTGGATTTATTTTTTTTATTTTTTACTTTTTGGAATTTTCCTGACAATTCCTGATCGGGAGGTGGTCGTGAGAAGCTAATCATCCCTCGTTAGCACCTGTATTATACTGGAGAATCGTCCCGAAAACGGCAAAAAATCGTACAGTGTATGCCCGGCTTAACACACTGCGTTCATGAACATTGGTGCGATGCTAAAGCTGCAACTACTTGTTCTGATCACTAAACCTCTTAAAAAGGAAGTTCCCAGCAACCACCCTCTAACCTGGACCCTCTAAAACGGAGCACCACAGGGGCGTCTGTTCGGCCCCCTCGCCCGGCTAACTGAACCCCCTCAGATTTCACTAAACCAGGAGATCCAAACGATGCCAGGCTAACTAGGAATAACAGAAAAGATTGCTTTGTAGCAAACGTTTAAAACGCGATGGGCCCAGCATTTTTTTCAAGTTTTAAAATGAAGTTTCAGTTTTTTTAAATCCTCACAGCTGTATTGCAGCAGGATCCCTTGCACTGAATCCCCTTCAGTGTCTCCAGTCTCTGGGTGCGGTCTAATACCTGGTTTCAGTGGGATGGCACGGTGAGGGGAGCGCTGGGCTTTGGCAGTGGTGTCCCGGCGCCGGGGGGACGTCTCCCTGGAAATGTGGCGGAGAAGACGGGCTCCTGCTGCCCAGTCGGGTTTCACCTGCTTTACTGGAGCTGTCCTGTTTCCAGGTGGGGAACCAGAAACACGATAACATCAGAAACAAAACTTTAAGACGACAGGAAGGTTCAGAATATGGAGGTAAGAAAAGAAGAATGACTTATGGTCTGAAATCAGAGCGGTTAATAAAAAAACCCAGAGGTGACCCAGGGTTCAAACTAAAGTGAGCAGGAAATGAACATCGGATCATTTGATCGTCTTCAGGACTGGAGGTGATCCATCGGATCCAAACGGGGGGTGTATGTGAGAGGCTGTGATCTGTTAGCTAGAAAGAAAGGAAGGAACCTAGGATGGAAGGAAGTCAGGAAGGAACCTAGCAGGAAAAGAATAAAGGACTGAAGCAAGCAGGAAATGAAGGAAGGAAGCAATATAGGAGGAAAGGAAAGATTGAATCGAGGAGGAAAGAAGGAACAAAATCTAGGAGGAAATGAAGAAAAGACTGAATCAAGGAGGAAAGGGAGGACTGGATCTCGTGGGGAGGGAAGGAACCTAGGAGGGAAGGAAGGAACCTAGGAGGGAAGCAAGGAAGGACATTTCCAAACAGTTTTTCAGAAATGACTTGTATGCAATTCTCTCCTTAAACCCAAAGGAATCTGTGATCTATTGCTCTATAGCTCCTTCATCCTGCAGGCTGAGTTTAATGAAACCAGTTTATAAAGTAACTCCAGGCCCATTTATATAAAAATAACTATTAAAACACTTCATCTTCCTGTAAAGCAGAAGCTCCATTAATCAGAGAATCTTTATTCTAAAATAAAAGTATTCATCATGGAAATAAGTAAACTGCTGTATAGAGCTCCGTCCACTAGATGGCAGCAAAGCCCTTTGGAACACAGAAAGAACCTCTCAGCATAACAGACAGCCTGGTTAGTTAGAGAGTGACCATAGCAGCCTGTGCTGCTAGGAGGGAAACACACAGGAAGCAGACCTCCAGAACCATGAGGATACGAGAGTTCTGCAAGCAGAACTGATCCTCATCAGAGACCTTTCATTAGATCATCTACACCTTCGACTGAGAGGCTATACCACCTAGAACCTTAGCTAGAAAGGAAGGAATCTGGCAGGAAAGGAAGGAAACTAGGAGGATAGGAAGAGAGGAAGGAATCAAGGAGGAAAGGAAGGAAGGAATCTAGGAGGAAAGGAAGGAAGGAATCTAGGAAGGAAGGAAGGAAGGAAGGAATCTGGCAGGAAAGGGAGGAAACTAGGGGGAAAGGAAGGAAGGAAGGAATCTAGGAGGAAAGGAAGGAAGGAATCTAGGAAGGAAGGAAGGAAGGAAGGAATCTAGGAGAAAAGGAAGGAAGGAAGGAATCAAGGAGGAAAGGAAGGAATCTAGGAGGAAAGGAAGGAAGGAAGGAATCTAGGAAGGAAGGAAGGAATCTAGGAGGAAAGGAAAGACTGAATCGAAGGGGAAAGGAAGGAAGGAATCTAGGAGGGAAGGAATCTAGGAGGAAAGAAAGGAAGGAATCTAGGAGGAAAGGAAAGACTGAATCGAGGGGGAAAGGAAGGAAGGAATCTAGGAGGAAAGGAAGGAAGGAATCTAGGAGGGAAGGAATCTAGGAGGAAAGAAAGGAAGGAATCTAGGAGGAAAGAAAGGAAGGAAGGAATCTAGGAGGGAAGGAAGGAAGTAATCTAGGAGGAAAGGAAAGACTGAATCGAGGGGGAAAGGAAGGAAGGAATCTAGGAGGAAAGAAAGGAAGGAAGGAAGGAATCTAGAAGGAAAGAAAGGAAGGAAGGAATCTAGGAGGAAAGAAAGGAAGGAAGGAAGGAATCTAGGAGGAAAGGAAGGAAGGACTGAATCAAGCAGGAAAGGAAGGATCTGTGGCAATGCTCCTCTGTCCTCCTAGGACTCAGCAGGAACTGAGGGAACTTCCTGTTCCTCTCTGTTCCCCAACTTCCTGTTTGTTTCTCAATCTAATTAACCATTTAAACAACTGATGCATCATTATTGTGAATTATTGCGATAAATAAATTGAAATCAGGAATTAAAGACAAAGATTCTTGTTTCTGAGCGACTTTAGCTTTGCATTAGCTTGTAGCAGTCGTACCTGTTTGGGGATTATATCCGGCAGCTGCAACCGTCCGTCAACCTTCTGCTGCGACGCCGCCTCTGAATCCGAACCAGATGTGTTCTCTTCACTTCTCCTTCTCTTCTTCTTCTTTTTCTTTTTCTTCTTCTTCTTCTTCTTTTTTCCCGCCGAGCGCTCTCTGTGGGACCTGGACTTCCTGCCATGATCCTCCCCTGCGAACAGGTCAGAGATCAGCGTGTTTCAGTCGTCATTGGCTACGTTTCCGTCCTCAAAACTCCTGACGATGTTAGCAACGTGTAATTTCACATTTACGGCCTCATTCGAAAAGAAACACGGCTAAAATGACGCAGGAATGTTTTTTCGCACAACAGCTAGCTAAAAAACAGGCCGCCTCCCTTTAACTTCTTGTCGTCTTTTTCGGCTGAATTTTGAGGTAGGCTATTTTAGTTTCCAGCTTATAGACATTGCCATGGCTACTGATGCAACTATCGGACACTTTTCTATGCAGCATTCTGGGTCCGTTAGCAGCGCCGAACCGAGGGAAAGGATAACTACTGTTGGAGTGAGGGGCGGCCATCTTGAATGTGAAGACGGGGACTCTCTTGTTGGAGCGACTTTCCAATTTTTAGCAGCGTGGGACAAATGGAACACACCGTGACATCATATTGATGATCACCTGACGCGGGAAAAAAACAAAAACATTTCCATTGCAGTTTTTGCGAATTACAATACGGACGGGGAAAAAAAAAATCATCATCATTCTGGGCATGCTAGCAGTAACGAACCAACAAAACCTGATGGCCAAAGAGGGAAAGGCTAACTACTGTTAGCACGAGGAGTGGCCATCTTGAATGTGAAGTCGGGGACATCTTGTCACATCAGCTTGGGATGAATGGAACACACCATGACATCAGATTGATGTTCACACAACACGCAATTTTTCCCCCCCCGTGTGAAATCTGACAATTTCAATACGGACGGAAAAAAAAAAACGCATCGTAGCACGAAAAAACTTCTTCAGAGTTTCCCACGAATTGTCGCGTTTCCATTAAATCTATGTAGAATTCAAAGATCGATAGCTACGGCCAGTTTTGGTCCAGCCCAGTGACGTTAGCGCACTGCTTCGCTAGAAGTGGACTTTAACTCAAACAGCGCTGAAAGAAATTAATCGGATTAATCTACTGTTGAAATAATCGTAAACGAATTTAGTAATCGATTAATCGTTAAATGAAGTGCAGAGACCCTAAAACATGCTATTAGCTGACAGAGGAACCCGCTTATAGCAGGAATTATACCAAACATTTTGAATTTTACAGAAAAAATAAATAAATAAATCTTAGTTCGTCAATATGCCCTACCTGGAAAAGTATCAGGCTATCCGACTTTTAATCGATTAATACACTGATAGTTAGCTGCAGCCCTGCACTCAAACACCTCCATTCCGTCGTTTTGCCGCTTATCTTTATAGACATATAGACTCCGCGTTTATAGAACATCCTGGAAGAACAAGCTTTGATTCTGATGCTGCCAAATATTCTACAAACAATTAGCATTTCTTCCTCTTTTCGACCTCCCAGTTCAACCAGTTCGGTCTATCCCCCAACTGATCAGGAGTAGAATATAATAACTGGTAGCTGCAGATTAAAGCAGCAGATTTAATCTGGATGAACCAGGAACTCTGACGGATCTAGATCAGACGGATCAATGTTCTAGATGCTCAGAAAACAGGCCCACAGCATGACAACCTGCCTGCCGTGCTCACAGGTGGACAGAGGAGCTTCTAAAACTCCCAGACAACCAATCAGAATCAGGATCATAACACAGAATCAGCTGCCATGACGCAAAATAAAAGATTGGAACGTTTCTAATCCAGAATCATTCAGACTGATAAGTTCGTGTTTCAGTGCGTCGGAGGCGTGGAACGTTCCGGTGACAGACTCACCTTGGTCTTTGGTCTCTGCAGACGGATCTCCTTTCCTACAAGGAAACACATGTGATAAATAAAGAGTAAAAGACAAAAATGAGATGTAATAAACCGACAGGACGACATCACTGAATGAGGATGCGATCAGATGACATCACTGAATGAGGATGCGATCAGATGACATCACTGAATGAGGATGCGATCAGATGACATCATTGAATGAGGATGCGATCAGATGACATCATTGAATGAGGATGCGATCAGATGACATCAATGAATGAGGATGCGATCAGATGACATCACTGAATGAGGATGCGATCAGATGACATCAATGAATGAGGATGCGATCAGATGACATCATTGAATGAGGATGCGATCAGATGACATCAATGAATGAGGATGCGATCAGATGACATCAATGAATGAGGATGCGATCAGATGACATCATTGAATGAGGATGCGATCAGATGACATCATTGAATGAGGATGCGATCAGATGACATCACTGATGAGGATGCGATCAGATGACATCATTGAATGAGGATGCGATCAGATGACATCACTGAATGAGGATGCGATCAGATGACATCACTGAATGAGGATGCGATCAGATGACATCATTGAATGAGGATGCGATCAGATGACATCATTGAATGAGGATGCGATCAGATGACATCATTGAATGAGGATGCGATCAGATGACATCACTGAATGAGGATGCGATCAGATGACATCATTGAATGAGGAAGCGATCAGATGACATCACTGAATGAGGATGCGATCAGATGACATCACTGAATAGAATGGAATAAAACAGAATAGAATGGAAACGAATAGAGCAAAACAGAATGGAATAGAACACAACATAATAGAATTTAACTGAATAGAACAGAATACAGCAGAATAGAATAAAACAGAATCGAACAGAATCAAATAGAATAGAACGGAATATAACTGAATAGAATATAACAATGAAAAAAATAGAACAGAACTGAACAGAATAGAATGAAATAGAATCTGACAGAATGGAATAGGATAGATTTAAATAGAACAGAATAGAACATAATCTAATAGAACAGAATAGAATGAAATAGAACAGATCGAATAGAAAGCAGGAAGACAGAGAACAAAACTCAATGAAAAAGGGTGAAATGAAAGCTGAGCTGTGATTGGTCAGCTCCATCAGGGGGAGGAATGAGAAGGCAGCCATGTTTGTTAGACCAGAGAGCTGCTCTGGTTACCATGGTAACCCCGCCTGGAGACTCTGTTTACCCTGGCCGGAGCTTCAGGTCCTCCTCCCTCTCTGCTGCGGACTCACAGCTGCTCTCCTCCTCCTCCTGGTTCCTCCTCTTCTTGCTCCTGTGTTTCTTCTGTCTCCTCCACGGCTCCTGCTCCTGGTTTCTAGGAGAACTCTGCTTTGCCGCCTCCTCATGTGGACCTTCCCGGTCCGGTTCGGCGGCCTCGCTGCTGCAAACCGGACCAGAACATCACATGTTACCGTCTGAAGCTCCAGGAGCGTTTTAAAGGCAGCTACAGGGGGGCAGATTTCTGACAGTAGCTTAGTTTGTCCTTCCCCGCCCACCGTAGATCAACTAACGGCTTAAATCCCATCAGAATCTCTACATTCAGCATCAGATTTTATTTCCAGACGCCTGAACACGCAGAGCTTTGAGCCTCCGCCGCTCCTGCAGCCCGCAGGGTTACCTACCAACACCCCGAAGCCCGCTGGCTTCTACTCAGGCTGCAGGACAGAACCGGAAGGCAGAGAGCAGCACGCGCTCCCAGAACCCCTGAAACAAACAAAGGCTCACGCACCTTCTCTCTTTCTTCTGCTCCTCGATCTCTCGGATCTTTTGGAGAATAAAATCCTGGAAAATTTGCTCTAAATTGGCCGCCATGTTTCGGTGTTCAATGAAAATAAAGGACCGGGTAGGAACATCGACCTGCTCGGGCGCGGAGGAAGGTTCCGCTTATGGAACCGTTCTCTGGCCCCTGCTATAATAATAAATTAAATAATACAATAACAATGATAATAATTATTATCATCATAAAACATGAAGCTTTTATTATACTACATTACTTTAATACAAAAACAGTTTATTTACAAGGTAACACTTAAAATATATAGTAATATTAATAATTTTAATTATGTGTATATTTTTTATAATTTGTTTCCCTTTATTTTCTTGTCTCCTCCTCATCTGTCTAACAGCTCTGATAGTGACCATTGATCGTTTCTGTTTGTGTTGGAGTGGAAGAATAAGGAGAAATTTATGATAAATATGGAAAATTTTATTTTAAACACTGAATTGTTTTTAGAACAGAATTTTAAACACAGCTTTTTTCACACATTGAATTCCTTACACTGAATTTTTATGTGGTAAAAATTTGCCTGAAGAAAATTTAGCTGCTATTGTATTGACCTTTTGATGAACTTGAGGCGAAGCAATGATGGCTGTGTTCGAATTCATGCTACCTAGACTGGATAATTTAAAGTCCTTGAAAATAAGGAGACCGGAAGAGTTTTGGCTGTGAATTCAAACAGGTCTACCCTTCTGCGGGTTTTACCGCCGTATGCTCTGTTGCTTAGCAACCGTGAAAGTTGACACACAAAGCAGGAAAAGAATGAATACAGAAGTTTTCAAAACTATTTGTTTCTTTCTTTCTTTTTTATTGAGTGGAATAAAGGTTCCAACCACCGTGAGCAGGAACTAATCAAATCAAATGTAATGATAGAAACCTCAGTCAGTTAAATAACCTGCTGCTGTCATTCTGCACATCTCTGATGTTGCTGCTATTTTCAAATATCCATTACTGGAAAAATGTCCATAGCTGCATATTGGTTATTTATTCTCCAGTTTTATATTGTTAAAACACTTTACAGAATTTTATTGTTTATATTTTAACTCTTCCCTATTATGTTATTCTTAGACATTTTTCTAAGGTCCTCATTTGTGTGACCATTTTCAATAATCTTTCTGCTGCTGTAAATTTGCCCATTGTGGGACAATAAAGGGATTTTCTATTCTATAAAAGGGTAGAAATATATAAGTAAATCTAAGCAATGTATGTATAAAAAAATTATATATCTACAAAATTTCTAATATTCAATAACAAAAAATACTTAGTTAAGCAAATGTCATGAGCTGGCCTGTTTGCTCTCCGTTAATTAGTCATTCCTTTCACCTGTTGTTTTCCCTCCCTGCCTCAATTATAATTTATTCCTCTCACCTGTTTCCTGTTGGTTATATTCAGTTCAGCCTGAGCATTCAGTGCCAGATCATTTCTTGTCTTTCTGTCAGCCTGTCGTTTTAGTTTCAGTTTTTGTTTATGGTTCATGTCCTGGATCCTAGCAGCCAGTGGAAAGAGGGTTTTAGTGTTTGTCTCGTCTCCTGATCGTCCACTGTTCCTCCCCCGTGGAGTCCTCTGGGTTTTTGGCTCATTATGTGGGGAGGTTCAGTTTTTATCTCAGTAAGCCTGGCTCCAGGAAGGAGACCAGTTTAAAGTCCTGCTTCAAGTTCTGGTTCCTACGTCCTGTCTCGGCTACCCTCTTCCACTGTGCCTGCCTGTCTGCACCTGATCCTGTCTGCTCCTGTGCGTGACCACCTGGTCATGCTTCTGGTCCCAGTCAGACTCTGAACCCTCCTGGGAGCCTGTGGATGCCTGGAAGTCTGGATCCTGCCACCTGTTTCTGTTCCTGCCTGATCTGGATCCTGTCTGTTCTGGATCCCTGACCAGGATCAGCTTCCAGCATGACCTCTGGGACTGCAGCACTGGGGACATTCTTGGTCTGGACTGTTAAACCAGGTAAGTGACCAAGCCAGATAATCTTCTGTCCGATGATCGTGGTCACTTACCTGTGTTTCTCCCACTACAGAGTGTCTGAGATTGGGCGGTGCCGCGCCCCCCCGCCTGCAGTGTCCACGAGCCACAGCTCCGCTTTTGTTTTGTTTTATTAAACGTTTTGAACTTTCCTACTGACTGTCTCTCCTTGAATACTGGGTCCATCTGTCCTGTCAGCATATTGTGCAAAACAGCAATAAAATTAAAATCCTATCAAATTTATAGTTCCCACACTGCAGATACAGTGAGTCCAAGAAGTATTTGATCCCTTGCTGATTTTCTTTGTTTGCCCACTAATAAAGATGTGATCATTCTGCACGTTTAATGGTAGACGTATTCTAACATGGAGAGATAGAATATCAAAAAAGAAAATCCTGAATATAACTTTAAAGAATATAGATTAATTTGTATTTCATTGAGGGAAATAAGTATTTGATCCCTCAGTATGCATTAGGAGTTCTGCCTTTCACAGAGCAGTTAGACACTCCCAATCAGCTTGTTACCTGAACTGAAGCCACCTGTTCTCACTACTAGTGTGAAAAACACCTGTTCACAGAATCAGACAATCTGACAGATTTCAAGTGTCCAACATGGGTAAGACCAAAGAGCTGTCTCAGGACCTCAGAGTCAGGATTGTTGACCTCCACAAAGCTGGAATGGGCTACAAAAAGATTAGCAAGGTGTTGGATGTGAAAGTAACAACTATTGGTGCAATTGTTAGGAAATTTAAAGAGTATAACATGACCATCAACAGACCTCGGCCTGGTGCTCCAAAGAAGATTTCACCTCGTGGGGTGACAATGCTCCTGAGAACGGTCAGAAATAATCCTGCAACCACTCGTCAGGAGTTGGTAAATGACCTGAAGGCAGCTGAGACCACAGTGTGCAAGGAAACAATTTGCAACACTTTGCGCAACAATGGACTAACATCCTGCAGTGCCCGAAAGGTACCCCTGCTCAAGAAGGCACATGTAGAGGCACGCCTTAAGTATGCCAATGATCACCTGAAAGATGAACCAAGTTATTAGAAGGTTCTGTGGTCAGACGAGACCAAAATTGAACTTTTTGGCCTCAACTATACCCGCCATGTGTGGAGGAAGAAAAATGCTGCCTATGACCCCAAGAACACTGTGCCCACCATCAAGCATGGAGGTGGAGGCATAATGTTTTGGGGGTGTTTCTCTTCCAAGGGTACAGGGCTACTTCAGCGCATCACTGGGAATATGGATGGAGCCATGTACCGTACAATCCTGAGGGACAACCTCCTCCCCTCTGCCAGGAAGCTGAAAATGGGAAGTGGTTGGGTCTTCCACCATGATAACGACCCGAAATATACAGCAAAGGCAACAAAGGATTGGCTCAAGAAACATCACATGAAGGTCATGGAGTGGCCCAGCCAGTCTCAGGACCTCAATCCGATTGAGAATCTATGGAGGGAGCTGAAGGTCAGAGTTGCCAAGCAACAGCCCACCATCCTTCCTGATTTAGAGAGGATCTGCTAAGAAGAGTGGGCCAAAATTCCCCGTGGTGTGTGTGCTAAACTTGTGGTTAACTACAACAAACGTCTCACTGCTGTACTTGCTAACAAAGGCTTTGCCACTAAGTATTGACTGTGTTTAGCTAGAGGGATCAAATACTTATTTCCCTCAATGAAATACAAATTAATTAATATATAATCTTTAAAGTTATATTCTGGATTTTCTTTTTGATATTCTGTCTCTCCATTAAACATGCAGAATGATCACATCTTTATTAGTGGGCAAACGAAGAAAATCAGCAAGGGATCAAATACTTCTTGGACTCACTGTATATTAGAATCTGTCCTTAAATTCCAGCCAAACTCATTTAGACAGTAACAGATAAAAACCTTTAGATAAATCAAACATTACCGCCACATATCTGACTCTATAACCATTAACAACTATTTTCATTTCAGACGGAACTATTCACTGACTGGATTATATTAAACTGAACTTCCAATATTCACCACTGTTCGGCACCATTTCCCTTTTTCCTCTGATCACGGAGCAGCCGGCTTGCTTGGTCTCGCAATGAATCCTGGGTAAACCAAGGAAAGCGAGGATACATCGGACCCGTCTAATCTGGCAAAACGAAGGACGCATTTTAAGGCCGCATAAGGAGGAGACTTGGAATCCGACCAGACCTTGGCGCCGCGCTATGACGTAATCGGCCTTCGAATCTGGCCTTCTAAGGACGCGTCCCAGGAATTCAAACAGAGCCTTTGTTTTTCTGACCAAATGAGCTAATTTCATTGGCTAGAAGCTGCTCTGCTGCATCTAGTGTCGATTGCTTTGGCTTCACTTCACCAAAAGGTCAAAACATTTGGAGGCCACTTTTTTTCAGCTGATTTTTCACCAGGTAAAAACATGGTGCAAAAAATTCAGTGTTTAAAATATTGTGTTAGGGAGGAAGGAAGGAAGGAAGGACATGTAACCCCATGGCTGTGTCCGACTGGGGACTATATAGTGGACTTTATAGTGAACTCCGTGAGCTGACCGTTCAGACTGATGATGATCACTATCTTTCACTCCCCATTGCTCACGTGACTCCGCCCCCACCGCGCTGTGCCTGCACCATCTTGGTCATTTGTCGCCGCTGTTGGGTAACAACAATGTGCTACTGTGACAACAGGTCTCATGATTCTAGGACATATCTATTGACCGTAGACATATATCTACTGGCCATGGACTTCTCCAGGTGCATTGTGGGAGTCCACTGCTTTTTCATCCAGTAGACTTTAGGTCATTTAAAATGGCGTAACCACTATACAGGGATTAGGGCGGACGTTCTGACACAGCTTTTTAACAATAAAAATGACCAATCAGCGCTGGTTACAGGTTGTTCTCTAACTGATAAACCAGAAAAGAACAAAACCAGAACTACTGATGGATGATTATAAAGCTCAGCTCAGCAAACATTTAATGTTCATGATATATAGTTCACCTTTAACAGTAGCAGCTCCATCCGGGGTTTAGACTCAGTCTCTGTTGTAGTTTAGTCCAGCTGTGTAGTACCTAAAAACATGATGTCACATGTATGTGGGGGTTGAAAACAGGAAACAAGAACAAATCGTAAATTCATTTGTTTTATTGACTTACATCGACAAATTCAGACGTTTTTAATGACTGTGATCCCCATACCCCTGAACTACCTGAGCCGACTCCCTTCTGCTCAGAGAAGCAGCAGCTCTGGTCCAACGATGCGACCGAGTTTTAGGGCTAGGCCAGAGATTTTTATTTTCTTTAATTACGAGAGTAAAATCACAACATTATGACAATAACTGTCGTTACTTTATGAGATGATTTGGATAAAAGCGTCTGCTAAACGCATAAACATTAAAAACCTAATGTTTTGACATTATAAGGTGATAACACGCGAATAAAGTCCCAATATTACGAGAATATTCATAACATTATGAGAACAAAGTCGCAACATTAAGAGAATTGTCGTAACATTATCAGAATAAAGTTATATTATGAGAATAGTCATATATTACAAGAATAAAATCATAAGATCATAACATTTGTTGTTGTAAAATCGTAAATTTACAACAATAAAGTTGCAACCTTATGAAAATAAAGTTATAAAATTCTGAGAATAAAATCGTGACATTATAAGAGTAGTCATAAATTTATGACAATAAAGTTGCAATATTATCACAAAGTCATAATATTATGAGAATAAAGTTGCAATACTACAAGAATACATTTGTAAAATTAAGAGAATAGTCCTAAAACTCTAAGAATAATGTCATAATATTATGAGAAAAAAAAGTCAAAATATTTTGAGAATAAAGACGATTACAAGAATAAAATCATAACATTACGAAAGTAAAATCGTAAAGTCGCAACATTATGAAAATATAGACATAAAATTCTGAGAATAAAGTCGTAGTATTATAAGAATAAAATTGTGACATTATGAAAGTCGCAAATTTACAACTCATTTATGAGAATTAAGTCGCAATATTGCAAGAATAAGGTCATACATTTACGAGAATAAATTAGTAAAATCATGAGAATAAAGTCAAAACATTTTAAGAATAAAGTCCTAATATTATGAGAATAGTCCTAATATTACGAAATAAAGTCATAACATTACGAGAATAAAGTCATAATAATATGAGAATAAAAGTTGTAATATTATGAGAAAAAAGTCCAAATATGAGAATATAGTCGTGTATTACAAGAATAAAGTCGTAACATTATAACGGTATGAAAATAAAGTAAAAAAATTACGAAAACAAAGTCGTAGTATTATAAGACTAAAATTGTAACATTACGAAAATCGCAAATTTACGACAATAAAGTCACAACATTAACATTACGAGAATTGAGTCGCAACATTACGAGAATAAAGTCATAATATTATGAGAATAAAGTTGTAATATTATGAGAAAAAAAGTCCAAATATGAAAATAAAGTCGTATATTACAAGAATAAAATTGTAACATTATAACAGTATGAAAATAAAGTAATAAAATTACAAGAATAAAGTCTTGGTATTATAAGAATAAAATTGTAACATTACGAAAGTCGCAAATGTGCGAAAATAAATTCACGACATTAACATTAAGAGAATTAAGTCGCAACATTACGAGAATAAAGTCATACATTAACTTGAATACATTTGTAAAATCAAGAGAATTAAGTCAAAACATTAGAAGTGACATTATGAGAGTATTATCTAATGAAGTTATACTTTGACAAATAAGGACTTATATGTCTTTTAGCATCAAACTATTATCAGTATTGGAACTTTAAAACGACTATCTCTCTATGGAAGAAAGCACGCTGGAAACTTTATTGTTACATTATTCCTTTAATATTATGACTTTATTACTGTATAAAAATAAATTCTCTACAGGTCTCTAGACTTGTTGAAAGTGTAAAAAATGAAGAGCAAAGCAGGAGAAATTGTGCATACAGAGATGATTTTATTGAAAGAAAGAGAAGCTAGCAAACATTCCTACCGTATTTTCCGGACTATAAGCTGCTACTTTTTCCCGCACGCTTTGAACTGTGCGGCTCATTAGCAGGTTTCCTAACCGCCAGAGGGTGGAAGTCAAAGTTGGAAATCAAAGCAGCTTAGCACAACAACATGCTAGCAGCAGGCACAATGGAGAAGAAATGTCCCAAATTCAAACATTTTTTACATTTATTTGCTGCCGAAGCAAACAAAGAGACTAGGTTTAGCTCCTAGAGCTGAAATAAAGAGCTGATGAAGCTCCATCTTTCAGTAGAAGCTCTTACTGCTGCGAGCTAACAAGCTAACGGAAGCTAGCATTCATCTTCCTCCCTACTCCAGGGGCTATATGTAGAGCTCCCCCTACAGGTTTGGTGGGAGACATCAGCTAATATCCCGGTGCAGCTTATATATGTACGGTTACATTTTGTGGGCGTGGCTTATAGTGAGTTGCGCTCTATAGTCTGGATAATACGGTATTTAGAATACGGTACAGAAGGTGGGAGGAGCTTGAACTTTGGTACATTCTGGTGAGTCTGACAATTTTTTTTTTTTTTACTCAAAGGCTCCTTTTGTGCAAAGACCCTTTCAAAAGTATTCACACCCCTAAATATTCCCTCGATGATGAAAGGATAATGATGCCTCGGTTAGTGGACCGGTGCTGTAAAGAATGACCGTTTACAGTCGTTAGCGCCGAGAGTTGTTCGGTTTAGGCCTGGGCTTTGACTAGGCCATTCTAAACCACTCTCATCTAAACCATCTACAGTAGCTCTGTGTCAGTCTCCTGAGAGTTAGCCTCAGACCTTGATTAAAGGGGAAGACCGAAGCATGAGTCCACCACCACCTTGCTTTCATAAGAGGTAGAGGTTTGGTCTCATCTGACCGGTGTCACGCTCTTCCACTTCCTTCTCACCGCTGTTCAACAAACAGTAGGAACTGAAAATAGCAACGTCTTAAAAACGCGGATCGTTTTCCTTCCTGTTCCCAGCAGAAGACGGCAGGGGTGTGAATACTTTTGCATCCCGACCAAGTGACACATTAAAAAACAGTGGGTCAATGTGACTCATTCACTACGATACATTCCACATAAAAACATACCCAACAAATAAATAAGTTAGCGATAAACCTTTAATCAGTGCTGGGGACCAGTAGCTAGCTAGCTGCAGGAGCAACTGGGCTAACTGGGGGGAAAGGAGACAGAATCCCAATTTTACTGGTTTAACATAGAAAGGATGTGATGTCACTCAGCTTATGCCACAGGTGGGTGAACATTAGCATAAATGCATGCTCAGGTGAAAACATTCTCATTTCCCTCAGTGAATTCATAACAGCGTAAAAAAGCAGGAAGGGATGTGGGAAAAAACAACTCAAAGCAGCAAATTTAGTTTTTACAGTTAGGGCCAGACTAGAGATTTTTTTTCTATTTTGAGAATAAAGTCATAACATTACGAAAATAAAGTCATAACATTACGAAAATAAAATTGTAACATGGAAATAGTCATAAAATTACAAAAATAAAGTCGTAATACTAAGAAAATAAAGTCGTAAAATTACGAGAATAAAGTCATAATATTAGAAGAAAATAATCATAACAACAATAGTGATAAAAAAGGGAAGCTTCCTTTCTAAAAAGGGTTGTTGTCAGGACTCCTGTCTGGGTGGTTTTGTGTTTTGTGTGTTTGTCTTCCTTCCTCCACCCGGTGGCGCCTGGTCCTGATTCACCTTTTCACACACCTGCGGAGGGTTTCCTCGTTAACGGAGTGCTATTAAGCTGCTGACTGCCACTACCTCGACGCCAGAGTGTTTGCCAGTTTAGGGTACTCTAGCCAAGCTGAGTTTTTTCAACCTAAGTTTTAATCTTGCTGTTTTTGTCTTTGCCGCTCGGCAGGAAGTCATCCTGCAAACTGGACGTTTCGGACCTTCTCTCCCTGGAAGGATCCACTGAGCTTCAAACTGAGCTGGGGATTCAAACTGGAGGTATGGATCCACTTTCCCCCGAGGAATCGTTTGAGTTTCACACTGAGCAAGGGATTCATCTGCACAACAGTCCGTCCAAGTACCGCAGGAAATCTGAGTGGCAGTCAGTTTCTCTGTTCTCCTACAAACAATTGCATTCTGGGTAAACCCTGTCCGCCCTCCACCGAATGAGACAAACACTGGAACACCCCACACCGCCTGGAGTCTAAGAGTCAACCACTTTTCTGGAAACGTGAGTCTGCCAACCTTTTCTCCTCTTTAAGTTGAGAATATATTCTCCCACTGAACTTGAACTAACCGCAATGTCTTCCCCTTGCCCTTCAGTTCTGTTTGAGCAGTGTTCAGAGCAACACTGGAGTCTCCACAAGCTTCTCAATAAACCTGTAAAAACTTTTTCCCCAGTCTCTCTGTTTGGGTTTCTCTGCATGTGGGTCCGAGCTCTTGATAAGAGCTAACTTTATTCTCGTAATATTACGACTTTATTCTCTTAATATTACGACTTTATTCTCGTAATATTTCGACTTTATTCTCAAATTAATAAAAATAAATCTCTGGCCTGGCCCTAATACTCCATTGTACGCTCCATTTTAAACCTGTATCCACTGAAACACGTGCTCTGGGCTAAAAACAAAGCCCTGATCATCAGCCTCCCACCGCCGTGCTTTGCAGCTGGTGTTTGTCTTCTAACACACCGATTTATTCTTCAACCAAATGCCAAAGGTCGTTGTTTTCATCTGGGCTTCATTCAGCTGCATCTTTGCACACCTGGATGACCTTTCCCTTTTCTCTTTAACATTTTTTCCAAAATGGTGGAATGAAAAAACGTTTCTTGTGTTTCTTTTTGGACTACTTAAATGTTGATGTCTTTGCTTTGGTTACTGTTAACTCTGATATGTTATAGTCCACTGGGAGGAGGGCAGTTTAAACCTTAGAAAGTAGGTTTTACTTTTATCAAATGACTTGATGCAGATCTGAGAGGGAAAAAAACATTAAGGTTGGTTACATTCAGATCGCGAAAAGTCTCCATCGATTACAAAATAAAGGCCGTCCATCGATGAAAATACTTCAATTTGATATAAAAACCTCAAACTAGGTTTTAAAATCGGCTATTCGCTTCAAGGTCAGTTGAAAAATTTCCACTGAGAGCATAGCACGGTCAGAAAAAAGGTGCCGTTTACGTGTGCAGTTCCTACACCGGCCACAAGAGGGAGCTGAACTCAGTGCTTTGATCGACATTCTGGTAAAAGGAAAAAGAAATCCAAACTAGGATTTAAAATCAGCTGCTAGCTTTAAGGTTAGTTGAAAAAATTCCCACCGATAGCGTAGCAATGTCAGAAAAACGGCACCGTCTAGGCACGCAATTCCTAAACCTACCAAAAGAGGGAGCTGAACTCGGTGGTATTTTGATTGAAATTCTGCTAAAAAAGAAAAAAAACTTTGAAATAGGTTTTAAAATGAGCTGTTCGCTTTAAGGCCAGTTGAAAAATTTCCTACAATAGCATAGCAATGTCCAAATGACGGCGCCATCTATGCAAAAAGTTCCTAAACTGGCCACAAGAGGGAGCTAAACTCTGTTGAGCTTTGATCGGCATTCTGATAAAAACAAAAACAAAAAAACCCTCTGAACTAAGCTTTAAAATTGGCTGTTCGCTTCAACTTCAGTCAAAAAAATCCCTCCAATAGTGTAGCGATATCAGAAAAATTGCGCTGTCTACACGAAAAGTTCCTAAACGCGCCACAAGAGGGAGCTGAACTCTGTGCTTTGATCGGCATTCTGGTAGAAAAAAAAAAAGAAACTAAACAAGGTACGTTCTTCCTTCAGTTTAGGAGGAAAAGTCAGTTCTCTCCTTGTGTTGAATCGGGTCTCTGACGGGTCGGATCGGATCAGGCTAGCTCTGACATCGGATCCCAGGGCAGTGTAGTGCTTCGGTTGTGAAAGCGTGCAAAACAAGGACAATTGCAACGTAAAGAAGTGATCTCCTTAGAAGGCTGGTCCTGATTTGTGCTGCAGTGTCCCTCTACTGGCCGAGTCCTTGAACTGCGTGTTAGCGAACCAACCAATCGTCAACCGCTACCAGCTTTGAACTGGTTCTCCGGGTTTCAGAGGCAGTGATGTAGCCATTAAAGGCTGACCAATCGCCGCTCCCAACATGGCCGCTGTCTTCACCAACCGGGGGATGGAACAGATGAAGACGGGCCGACTATTCCAGTCCGAAGGTGCTGGTCTCCTCCACGGCAGTCAGCATCTTCTCATAGAGCATGGAGAAGGACTGGTACGGCGGCAGGTCCAGGCGGTTGAAGCAGGTGTGAGCTCTGAGGGGACAAAACCACGGAATTTAGAGCGGTGTCATCGTTTAATACGCCATTATCCTGAACTTTGACCTGTTCACTAACCACCATCTAACCACCACCATGTTGGACCTCCTGGATGAGCTCAGGGTGGTTCTGATAGGTCTGGACCTACAGGATGGCCCTCGCTGTGGTTTAGACGCCTACTTCATGCTGCCAGAAAGGCTCTACTGAAGTAATTTCAGCGTTTTGGGAGCAAAGTGGAACTAATGAGGGTTTCTTCAGGATTTCATATTCTCTCAATCGTCGCAGGTTGTGTTTGCTGGGTATGACAGCTCTGACCAAACTCAGTGGAAACATCTGCAGTCAGTCACCTGGGCAGTGAGGTGATCTTCCCCCACTTCTCCACACAGAACCGCCGCGGTCCGTTGCTGCCGCGCAGCGCAGCGAAGCCCTCGTACGGAATGCTCGACGTCCCCGTCACAAACTCCACAGGAAGAGGAGAGAGAGGGAGGGATCAGAGAGAGGACCACAGCTTTCAGCAAACCTTTCCGTCGCAGGCAGGAGGATTCTGAATGTTCTACAGAACCTTCCTGAACCCTGTCCTCCCACCAGCAGCAGGCCTACCTGCAGCAGACGAAGCCTCTGCTCATTGTTGAAGCGCTCCACGGCTGCCCAGAACCACCGGATCACAATGTGGTTGTCATGGTAACCTGGACACAACACATACTGCTGTAGATCCGCTGAGTGGGTCAGAATAAGGAAGGAAGGAAGGAAATTAGCTAGCTAGCTAGCTTTTGGTCCCCTCTACCTCCTCTGTACTCGGTGTTGTTCCTCCAGTCTGACAGGTCGATCTCGGCCGTCCCAGCGATCACCAGCTCCAGCTCCCTGGCATCGAACACAGACACCAGCCTGGCGTCCACCACCTGGACAAACCGCCAACCGTGAGGCCCCAGAGAACTGACCGACTGCAGGAACCACACAGTCTGACTTTCCCACAGACAGCACCTCATAGAAGCCTCTGACCAGGCTCTCCGTCTGCTGAACCACTCCCCGCTCTATCCTCCACTTCACCATCCGCTCGATGTACTCCTTCTTGTTCTTCTCTGACACCGGGATGTTCCCTCCACCAGGCTTCAGCTCCCGCTCTGTGATCTGCACACACCAAAGTTCAAAGATCATTTGGAATCTCCTCTCTCTCTCCCATTGGTTCTTATCTCCCCTTACTGTCTCTCCTCCCTTTCTGTTCCCTTTCTGTCTTAATGGTCTGCTTGTTGGGCTACCAGCTAGCTCTGGGACATCTATTCCCAGACAAAGACCATGTCCTTTGGACAGATTTGCCAAGAACATGCTTGAAAAACAATCTCTACCAACCACATGGAGGCGGGAGTGTAATGGTGTGGGAGGCTTTTCTGCATCCATCATTATAGAAAAATAGACTCTCATTTTTTACTCTACTAGAACATCCAGAAGCAAAATGTCTGACCTTAGAGTCCGACACTTTGGTGAGTCCTAGTCAAAGTTCCTGCACCCCTTCACATGCCCTGTTCCCGTTCCTGACCAAACCCTTCAGCGCTTCCCGACCAGCAGGCAGCGTCGGAGTCACACCTGTCCAAACACTTCCTCGTTGACGGTAAAGGTGAGGTCCAGCATCTCTTCGATGTCATTGTCCTTCATCCACTGGAGGGACTGGTGGAACTCCTCGTCCAGGTACTCCAGGTCGCTCAGGTCGCAGGGGCTGCAGGGCGGTAAAACAACCAATGAGGGACTGGAGGTGAATGAGTGAAAGAGCGTGAGCTGCGTGCGGACGTACATGCGGAGGAGGCCTTTGTAGAAGGGTCTGGTGAAGAAGGCATCCAGCAGATACTGGTGGATCAGAGCTAGACCCAGAATGCGGCCGCTGAAGCGGAACCTGAGGCACACAGAAGAAGAACCGGCTTCATGACCGTACTGAAAGAAAACGTAACATGGCCGCTCCTCCTCCTCTCCATCCTGGTGACACAGATCAGGGCAGCTAAAGCTCAACACCATCAAACCTTTGATCTTCCTGTTAAATCCAGAATAGAATTATGGAAATAAGCATCAACTAATGTAGTGATCGATAATCATTACATGTAGCATAGAGACGGTAAAACATGCCTTAGCTGACAGAGCGACCCACTTAGAGCAGTAACTACATCAAAAGTGTAAAAAGAAATTGCAATTCAGATTTTAAAAAAGTATTTCCATCTGTCAATATTCTCCATCCAGAACTCCTCAAGTGGCTTTCATTTCATAAAAAATCTTCTTTAAGGAACCTTTGGCTATCTGATTATTAATCAATTGATCGAAAAACTAATCGACAGATTCATTAATTTGCAAAATAATCACTAGTTGCAGCTCTAATCTCTGCAGTTATGCTGCTGTTGGCTTAGTCCACTGGAGGACCACGTTTCCTCACTTTTCTTCCTTCTACCTGTATTCTATGTTGTGCATTGGCACTATAAAAATAAACTGAACTGAACCAATTAGATCTCTGCCTCTAGTGGTTAGGTTCAGGGTCAGGCAGAGCCCTCAAAAAGATGTTAAAGGAAGAACATTGTGTTTGTGTAGGGTATTACCATTCATGATGATTGTCTACAAAGGCGGACATGGGGCTGATCTGAACGGTATACGTGTCGTTGGCTGAATATTCAAACAGACCATAATATGGATTGAAGAGTTCCCTAGAAACCAAGAAGAAGAACTCCCTCGAAGGCCCGCTGTAGTCCAAGCTGTAACGACACATGTCCAGGTTAATGTTTGATGGACATCTTTTAGACTTTCCTCGCGACGGTTTCCCTGCTCGGTGACCCACCCTTCCTCTCCGGCAAAGCTGACATAGAACTTGCTGCGCTGCAGGTCTTTCCTGGAGTAGCACATGATCTGATTGAAGGCGTCTTCCAGGATGTGGTCTCGACGGATACTCAGTCTACACAAACATGGACATGGAACCCAAACCATGAACCCAAAGGGAGTGAGAAGACGCAAACAGACTCATGCAGATGGGAATTTACTCACTTTAGCTTCCCGGGGCCTTGGCCGTAGCCTTTGGTTTCGAGTTTCCTGTAGAAGTTGCGCAGTTTAGCCTCAAAGTCTCTCTTGTAAGGAGCTGGGGCTCTGGCGTTGGCGCGCTGAGTTCCTGCAGAGAGAGACATGACCAGAGGCGTTTTCAGGACCCGTCCCTTCCACTTCCTTAAAGTTATAGAGGAATAAGAGGTCCTCCTAATTGTCAATCAGTCTGGTGATATCTTTACGTACGGCCGTCCTATGTACTCGTCCCGTTAGCTATCTTTTCCTACAGCAGACAGTACTGCAGACAGGAGGCCTCTGATTGGTCAATTCTACATCCGCTCTACACTATGCGTATTTCCTGTTTTGACCTAATGGCAGAAACTCTGGCTGTAGTGCTGTCCACAATGCCTGGCACACCTCAGACACTGTCCCAGACACAGTGCAGGACGCTAGTTTGTAACTTTGAGCGACGGTCTGTTAGTTTGCACCGGAAGGCAAAACACGCTGCGCCACGGCCAGTTTTTGGGAAACACTCACGGGTGAACTGTTTGTTGGCTGGTGTTGGATGACGGGTTGTAGACGGTGAAAAAGCTCATCAAACGGACGCACAGACACCCACAATCCTAGCTAGTTGCTGACTGTCCCTCTTGCGTTGTGGCGTGGAATAACAGAGCGCAGACCATGTTTCAAAATTGGGCATAAATAAAAAATGTCTGCGTCACACCTGTGACAAACTAACTGCGACACACTGCTGCGGGAGGATACACAGCCCTTAATAACAAAGACGACGCAGGCACCGTGCGGTGGAGGAGGAGTTACGTAACCAATGTGGGAGCAAAAAGCAGTGATCATCTGTCCAAACGGTAAGTTAACTGAGTTCGCTATAAATTTAGGGGTTAGAGCGGACGTTCGGTAAGCTTGTATCATGGTAGGCTCAAAATGGTAGAATTCTTTTAAGACAAGAAGAAGAACAATTTAAACGATTCAGTCAATTTTGTCCTCCGGAGGGTGGGAACATTTATGGACAAGTCGAATCTTAGTTTTATCCCCCTGGAATGGCGGGCCCATATGAAGCTGTATTTCTACCCTAGCACCAAGTGCTATTTCAAAATCTAGATGGTGTTTGAATGTGCCATTGTTTAAATGGCCAAAATCGTCTCTGATACTTAAACAGGAAAAAGATACTTTCATAAAGATCTCTAGGCTCACAAGTTATCCTACGTGCAGGTCACCAGTTAAGAATCTTGTTTTTGCCAAGATTCGTACGTGACCTCCAGCATGTACTGTTTCTGTGTGCTAGGGTTCAAACACCCTGTCCACTGTTTTCTTTGTGTGTTGCTAAGTATTTATTGTTAGGATTCCAGGTTGTGGGGGTTGTTTTTTGTACCCAAGGTTAGTCTGCCTGTCCGCCCTCCAACGAGTTCTTCAAGTCAAGTCAGCTTTTATTGTCACTTTCTTCATATGTACAAGACATACAAGGGAAATTAAATTATGTTTACATCTCTTTTAGCCTTTTTCCCTACGTTCCCTGAACTGATCATTGTGATCTCCCCCTCAGAGTTTCCGGTTCTGGTTCACCAGTCCGCCGAGGTCCAACAGTGTTACCCAGTTGTATATCTCTCAGTCTGTGTTTTTGTAAACCACAGTAAACCTGTAAACTTTTACCCTTGGCTTCTGAGTGTGTCTCTGCATGTGGGTGAGATCCTTAAAACCCATCATGACATGTATAAGGCCTTGAAATATGTTTACACAGTGTGAACATTATATAGCCCCATCACCATGAGCTTGTGCATGCTCTTGTAAGTGTTTAATAAGCGTTCCTTCTTGGGAGTGGGTACAGGGTTTGAACTGGCGACTAATAACAAAGATGGCGCTGGCACCGCGCAGTGGAGGAGGAGTTACGTGGCCAACAGAGAGCAAAAAGCAGTGATCATCCGTCCAATCGGTAAGTGAAATGAGTTCACTATAAAGTCCACTATATAGTCCGTGCTCTATATAGAGTTAGCCAAAGAAGCTGCTATTTTGAGATGCTAAGCCAGATTTTTTAGCATCTGGACCAAAACATAATCCTGCAAAACTACAGGCCCGTTACAAACCTTCCCTTCAGCTTAAAGGTATAGAGGACGGTCTTTTATTTCCGGGTGGATCATCTAAATAATTGGTCCTCCAAATTGTCAATCAGTCTGGTGATTTCTTTACGTAAGGCCGTCCTACGTGTCCGTCCCCCGTTAGCTATCTTTTTGTCAGACAATCTGTGGTGAGCTATGGTTTCAGACAGTCACTGAAGCTCACCGTTCTCACAGCGTTTCTTTGAAAATGGCAGAGGCTCGTAAGAGAAAAGTGTCTATGAAGTGTATAAGAAGAAAAGAAAGGCCTCAGAAGAGGCAGATATATCTCAGAATACTCTGCGTGGAGAGGTCTCCTCGCACAACTAAGCTTGTATGAGCTATGAGAACAGCAACTTTTAAACAGAGCGTGCATGAGGAGAAATGGGCTCATGCACGCTCTTCCACATGTTAAATAGGCGGTCCTTTTCAGGAGCGGGTACAGGGTTGTGCATTTTTTTAAAAAGTGCAGAGGGCGGGACCTTTCAAAAATTCACGAAATTTCTCCAGAATAGCTATAAGGCATGAGGTTCCATCATAATGACATACCTGGGGAGTTCTGTGGAGAGGAAACGGGGGACCCCCGAGATGATGGGCAGTAGCTGGGGAGGAGTAAGGCATGAGGAGGCACGTAAGACATCACTTCATCTTCAAACAGACTGCATGGGGAGACAGAGAGAGAGAGAGAGGCTTAGGTACCGAGGTGAGTTCAGGAAAGGAAAGGAGGCCTGCTAAGGATCAGCAGAGACGTCTCACCTCAGCAGAATGACGAGGTCGGCGTCTCCAGACAGCCGGGTCAGTCCTGACACTCCATCTGTGCGGATCAGCTGGACCTTCTCCCTGAATCCACATCCAACATGACATCAACAATCATCCAGGAGATCATTCATCCCACTTCCACCTTAACCTCTTAATATCCACCTCATTTTGGGAAATTCTCGTATATTCTGCGTACCCAAATGGAAAAGCAAATAACGGAGGAACTGTAAGCTCAAATTACATGTGTGATACATTATTTGAAAGCTACACCCTCTAGTTTCTGAATATATACATAGAAATTGGGTGAGCAAAACAACCAAGCTGCATCAGTTCAAACAAGACTCAAAGTTGTTTTTTTATTCTCGAAGTCTTTTTATGAACAGCACTTATAAAGTCATGCTTCTTGTGGCTGCTTTGTCATGGTACATTTTGACATGCTGCTCTATCTGTGTTAAATGTGCTTTAGTGCTCGCTGTGTCCATAAAGTGAACTTGGTGGTTGAATTGTGGAGAATCTAAGCTTTCCAACGATGTCTAACATGTCTATATTGGCAAACATTTTACCTGTGTAATTTTCATGCATTCCGAGTTATTATATGTAAACGCTTTAAAACGGGTCGCCGGCGACCCGGTGGGTTTTGAAAGGTTAAATTCATCTCAACTCGAAACAATAGAAGGTATTCGTGATCATTTGAAGGACTCGGGTTCCATCTGACATTAAAACAGACTAAAATTTAAGGACTTCTATCGACTCAATGCCAGAGTAATGAGAGAAGAAGCCATTACTCCAGCTGAACCAAGAGCTTCACAATCAACACCGAGGCCATTTCTTAATTCACAAGAATGCAAATACGAACTTGTGTCCTCGCCAAGCCTGTTCTTGAGAAGAACACAGGAAAGTCTGGACTCAGGGAGAAAGGGAGCACGCAGAATAAATCTAGATCAACTGGAACAGAAGCGTACTAATGACGTTAGATCTGGCTGCTGAGGATGGGCTAACCTTAGCCCTGGATGCTAAGGACATGCTAACCTTAGCCCTGGCTGCTGCAGACTGGCTAACGTTAGCCCCGGCTGCTAAGTTAGCCCTGGCTGCTGCAAACGGGCTAACATTAGCCCTGGCTGCTGCAGACAGGTTAACGTTAGCCCTGGCTGCTGCGGACAGGCTAACGCTAGCCCTGGCTGATGCAGATGGGCTAACACTAGCCTTGGCTGCTGCAGACGGGCTAAGGTAGCAGCCGGGGATGCCGTAGAGGGACTAACATTAGCCCTGGCTGCTGCAGACGGGCTAACATTAGCCCTGGCTGCTGCAGACGGGCAAACATTAGCCCTGGCTGCTGCAGACGGGCAAACATTAGCCCTGGCTGCTGCAGACGGGCTAACGTTAGCCATGGCTGCTGCAGACAGGTTAACGTTAGCCCTGGCTGCTGCAGACAGGTTAACGCTAGCCCTGGCTGCTGCAGATGGGCTAACACTAGCCTTGGCTGCTGCAGACGGGCTAAGGTAGCAGCCGGGGCTGCGGTAGAGGGACTAACATTAGCCCTGGCTGCTGTTGAAGGGCTAATGTTTGGCCTGGCTGCTGCGGCCAAGGCTAACGTTATCCTTGGCTGCCGTAACCCTCATAGTTCTGCTGGTTGCCATGGTCCTCTCAGCTTTGGAATTTTTTTTTTAATTACACATTAAATCAGTAAATGTTCCATATAGTGAAGCTTAATGTATAATATTCTCGCCTCAAATGATCTTAAAACGTACTTTATAGAACAACAACAACAGAAACAAGAACTTTTAACTTAATAACAAGAACATGTGCAAGAACACCATCCAGGGACTTTGGCTGTTTCTCAATTTACTAGAAAGCGAGCGCGTTACTCGTGTTCTCGCCAAGTCTGTTCTTAAGAAGAACACAGGAAAGGCTGGACTCGGGGAGAACGGGACGCAGAATAAATATAGGACAATTGGAACAGAAGTGTACTTGTGACATCGCCCCACACTCAGCTCGCATTTCACCTCCTGTTTTTAATAGTCTCTAGTTCATAATAAATGATTACTTTTTCATTTAATGGGTTAATAATAATGAACACAGTCAGGTAAACACAAATCAAATGAACATTTTGAGAAATAGAAATGCTTCATATTGGACAGCTCCAACCAAACAGAGAGAGAAATGCATCGGCCGCCGTCTACATACCTGAGTACGTGGTTTCGGCTGAAGTCCGGCTGTCTCTCCTGCAGGATCTCAAAGATGTTGGGTTGTCGAAGAAAAGCCACAATCTTGTCGTTGTAGGCTAAACAGACGAGGAACAAACAGTAGAGTTAAAAACAATGTTTTATCATCATCGGATTCCCTCCAAAAGCTCTGTCCGACGATGTTTTGGTTGATGTCGAAGGATCCGTATCCTCTCTGCGCTGTGTGGCAAACCTTTTAGCAACTCTTTATTTACAAAGTTACTTATAAAACCAGGTATTAGCTCCTGTAAGGAGCTTAGAAAAACAGCATAAAGGACCTTTAATGTTTTATATTTTAGCACAACTACCGTCCTTAGTGAGGTTTAGAACAAAGCTAAAGCTAACTTCCCAAAGACAAAATGTTATTTAGTCTAAATCTGGTGGGTCCGTCATAGTCTGAATTACTCCAGAAATAGTTGTTGAGAATTGGGCTTTGTTTGGTCAGTCGGATTTTGTCCTACTTTAGTCGAATAAGAGATGTTTTCAACTATTAAAAAATTACAGCTCTTCACTTTTAAACCAAATGTAGACGTCATTTGGACGTAAATCATGGTGTTGTTCAACCAATTTTTGCTCGGTGGAACACAGTGATCACTGCAGGATGAGGCTGAGCGTTGGTAAGATAGAAATAACTTAATACCGATAAAATAATCCGTCCAGTAAGAGAAAAGATCGGCATACTGACCCACAGGGACAACCTCCTGGCACTGTCCTCTGCTGGAGGAGGTGAAGGTGCTGGATGGGCGTGGCAAAACGGGAGGACCAGGATGACGCGTATCTTCACCCGCCTGATTAACCGAGAGCAAAAGAGAAAAACCTGGTGGGTTCTTGTGAGGTCCAAATTAACAAATAAACTTTTTTGCCTTTATTTTTCACTCTAGAACTTGGTAAATATTCATCCATATATGATCGCATCTCTGTATCACTTAGAAACAAACCATATTTGACGCTAAAGGCAAAAGAAACAATAATTCTGGCTTTTCTTTAGTGGTAATTTTGTTTGTACTGATTTTTTTGGGGGCTTGTCTGGGATTTACCACACGGTTCTGCACCATGCTGTTTGAGGTCTGAGGGAGCTCATTTCTTAGCCAGGACCAAAGACTTATATTTTTGGTAATTTTACTTTGAACAGATATGATGGACTCAGTCAACCGCCCTCTGTTGCTATGATGGTATGTATAAGAGATGCATTCAACTGTAAAAACCCATAAGATGTTCCTCTATATGCCAAAGAAGGGTGAGAAATAGATACTCCTGCAGTCTTACCAGCTGCCGTGGGCTGACCTCCCCAGCGCTGTGGCTGCGCTGCCGGGTCAGGTGTCGGCGGTGAGCTAAAACGCTGGGCCGCGAGCTCTGAACGGGAAGGCGAGGATCGATGAAGGTGGTGGCACGGCAGTTATGGTCCACGAAGAAAGGCTGCATATGCACAAAAATAAGACACCAGATCACAATCGGAACAGCTGTGGCGGATACGCTCCTTGGTTTGACGGCTGCACCTTGCCGCTGTGGTCGTGCTTCATTTCCCAGCCTCTGGGCAGCTCCAGCTGTTTGTTGGCGAACATGTTGAGGAACGCCACCAGGTCGCGGTTGTGTTGGTAGCGCTCATAGTGGTGCGCGTCTCTGCGGACCTTACTGATCATGTGCTTCAGACAGGTGTTAGTGGTGAACATGCGGTAGGCACTCTGAGTTCACAGGTAGAAGAAGAAATAGAGAAATTATTGATCTGGAAAATATCCCCAAAAAATGTACACGTATTTCATTCAATAGGGTTTCAGGAAATATGATGAGTTTGGAGAAACAGGAATTATTTGATCAATGCTACGCAAGTAGCTTAGCTTAAACACAGCATCTTTATTATCAATTTAATCAGAACCAGCTGGGTTATAACTGGACCCGTTGGTTCTGTTTGAAGTGTTTACATACAGGGTTGGAATGCAGCACAGTGAAGAAGTCGGGGCTGGTGAGGAACTTGGCGCTGGGGGACTGCAGCAGCAGGGAGATCCGAGACCTGGCGCCAGCTGGAGCCGCGCTGTTCTCCCTCCGGAGCTCTGAGAGGTGGAAGAGGGCAAAATGTCAGCAAGAACGGAGGCGTTCAGGCTGAAAAGGCGGGTTTTAAATCCGTCACTGGCCTCAGATGGTTCGGCTAGTGCAGGCTAGGTCAGGCTAACTCAGGCCAGGTCAGGCTAACTAAGGCTAGGTCGGGGTAACTTAGGCTAAGTCAAGCTAAGTCAGACTAACTCAGGCTAGGTCAGACTAACTTGGGCTAGGTCAGGCTAACTCAGGCCAGGTCAGACTAACTCAGGCTAGGTCAGGCTAACTCAGGCCAGGTCCGACTAGGTCAGGCTAACTCAGGCTAGGTCAGACTAACTCAGGCTAGGTCAGACTAACTCATGGTAGGTCAGGCTAACTCAGACTAGGTCAGACTAACTCATGGTAGGTCAGGCTAACTCAGGTTACGTCAGGCTAACTCGGGCTAGGTCGGGGTAACTTAGGCTAAGTCAAGCTAGGTCAGGCTAACTCAGACTAGGTCAGATTAGGTCAGGCTAACTCCGGCTAGGTCAGACTGACTCAGACTAGTTCAGGATAGCTGATGTAGCTTTGAGGTGCTCAGTTTTAAAGGAAAGAGCATTAACTTTACATCTACACAAAAATATTAATCGATATTACATCTACAGCCACATAAAAGTTTTACATTTACTGAAACAAATATCAACAAATAATTTTTTTTTTTTTTGGACAGGTCCAAAATAGATAATAATTTTTTTTTGGCTACAACTCTAACAAGGAAATGAAGCGATTCTTCATGGAGAGGAATTGTTGGTTAGCTATAGTTGGTTAGTTATTGTCTCCAGATGCTAGTAGCTCAATGATGGAGCCTTGCAGAGGAGCAAAGAGAGGAAGAATGCTGAATATTAGAAAAAACGTTGCACCCGCTAATGCTAACCTTTTGTTAGCATTGTCTTAACCTGATCCGTACCTGAAGGACAATCCGTACCATCAGCTTATTTGCGCATGTGCAAGCAGATTGAAGCTAGGTCACAATAATTATGTAGAATGCTAAAGACTTTTCTGAGGCAATCTGATGCTTTTCACATTCTCCGCATTTTCTCTGTTTCTTTCTTTAGATTACACACCATATACCACAAGGTTACCGGGAAAGGAAAAAAATAAAACTCAAAAAGACTAGATTAATGTTTAAATCCAAGGCCGAAAAAGTTAGCGCCCACGAGTGAATAAACGAGTGAATAAGGTGAATGTGACTGGTCATTTATCAAGGAGGCGGGATTGTTGTGGTGGAAGGTTCGCAGGCATGTTTGATTGTGGCCGGTTTGTAGGAAGCATCTTGCTAACCAGTTAGCATCTTAGTGCTAGCAGGTTCCCAATGGGAAATTCCATTGGGACCAAGTAGCACTAAATCGGTGACTTAGAAACGACGCTGTCAAGGAACGCTATGGACAGCGGAAACATGCAAGAGGAGGAGAGTTTAGTGTCGGAGGTCGTGGATGAGTCTCCTCCGTCATCCATTTTTTATTTACAGGAGGAAAGCAGGAATGAAGATGTTGTGGAATATATATATATATTCTTTTTTACAATTTTGGTAAAATTGGTGCTCTAAGTGGGTTTCTCTGTCAGATAAACGCACGTTTTAGAGTCTTTACACTCAAATAAAATTTTTTCAGGATCCTGGTCTTTAGACACTGGATGACCCAACTTACATCTTTCTTACGCCTTGTTTTCACTCAGGGGTGTGGTTTGTGTTTCTCTGCCAATAGGTGGCTCTATTAGGCCAGTATCTCCACCCTGACCGAACCAAACCGTTATTCTTTGGAGCGGCCTCAGAGGTAGGAACATTAACAAAAACAAAAAAAGCAGATTTTAAGACAGGATTTTTTTGTTAAAAAATTTTTTTTCAAAATGTTGGGACAATATCGTCCAATAAATAGTACATTAATATACATGTTTAAGCCAGAATGATTTGACATTTAAATATGACTTCCCTTTGACTTTGAAAGGAGAAATTACCCATAATTCTTTAATTTCCACAGAAAGAGCACAAAACGTAGTGAAGAACTGATGGTTTCGCTTTAGATGACATAAACAGGTTCCTCTGACGGCTTAGGTATTTATCATTTACAAGGATGTGAATTTGAGCCCTGGCCTGCCACACATCATTTTTTGGTGTACAGACATTGCTCAGCAGCCCCACCTATTGGTGAAAGTTTACTTCTTTAATAGAAGCTCTGAATCTTCTGAAAGCTTCTAGTCCTAAGTAAAGGCCAGAGGAATTTAGCTGAAATGATACCTAACGACATGGAGGGTCTCTGCTGGTTAAATATGTGCAGACTCAATAAAAACACTCTGGTATTTTTTTTTCTCCGTCACTACCTGGAACAGACGGCTGCATGTCGGTCTCATCCCCGAGCAGCTCGCCGGCTGGCGGCTCCTCCTGTCTGCTGTCGTTGGTTATCGTCCTCCGGATGCTCTGATACCTGCAGAGGAGCAGTTAAGGCTAACCGTTAGCTTAACGTCATATAAAAGGTTAGCTTTCGCCGTTAGCGTCCCTTCGTGGTTCTGACCTGCGGTTCAGCTGCTCCATCTGCTGTATGGAGCTGGACCTCTGCAGGGTCTGCGGGGCGGGGGGAGCGGTGGGACGCTGCCACGTCGTGGTTCTGTTGACGTGATCCACGTAAAAGACGCGTCCGTGACTGTCGATGCGAGCCTCCCAGTCTGGATGGGCAGAAACATAAACCCCCCCGATGGGTAACAAGATCCAAACATCTTAAACAATTCTACTGAAATGTCGTATCGCAAAACTTTAAGAAAATGTAAAGATATTTCTGCTGTAATACACCCCCTCTGCCAGAAGGGGGCTCATCTGAGTCATGCTAGGTATCATGAGTTTCTACGGTAACAAACTACCCTGAAGATAAACACCCTATGAAAGCAAAGGTCTGGTAGTGTTTGAGATAACCCTGTAGGGCATGCGCACACCCACTAGGTGGCAGCGGCTCGTCCACTCTCTGATAGCGGCTGATGTCGTGGCGGACGGAGGGCAGCGATCGCACAGAAGGATGGCTGTTCACCTGAGCCGTGGCCCCTGTATCAAACAAACCACAATCAATTAGAATCCAACATGATCGTAAACTTTTCCTCTTTCATATCAGCGTCATCCTTTCTTCGCATTTTAACAACGTACAATTTTATCGTAGCTAGTAGCAGGAACCCTGCGGAAGGATGGTTTCAAACTGTCGACAAAAACTACTACAGGAGGGCTTGCTGGACCCATCCAGGAGGTCATTGTGATGAAACATTAACCAACAGCTATGATAAAAAGTCAACCAATGGCAACACTTTGGTCCCGTGGAAGCTAAGCTAAGACCATAGCGCCTCAGTAGGAGCAGAGTTAACGGTAGAGCGAAGGAGGAGGACTGATGGGAAGAAAGCTCACCAATCTCTTCATCCGCCATTATTGACCTTGCTTCGCTGGGTCTGGCCCCGGGCCCCTGCTGGTGCTGAGGCTGGCCTCCAGATGCCTGCATGGACTGCCTCCTCCAGACCTCTGCTCCTTTGCGCCCCCCTTCTTCATCTCCGCCTTCAGCTCTCATGCCCTCTGAACATAGAAACAATACAGCTAGATGAGTACCAGCTCTACAGAAGCAGCCATTAAAAATGGCCGTTTCCAATCAAAAGCCAAATGGCAGCAATATCCCCTCCAACTTCCAGCCACTGGCCTTCTCCTTGGCGTGAATATTTTTTTTACTCTGACTCCCCCCTTTCACTGAATTACAGGGTCTGACCAGGAGATGGCGCTGCTCTTTAGATCTAAATGTCCACAAATCATGACAGAAAGAATAGTTCAGTACAAAGATTGATGTATAATAAGGAATTGAAGGGGACCAGCCAAGGACCAGGGGCCAACCTAAGAGCAGCCAAGGACCAGCCAAGGGCCAGCCAAGGACCAGCCAAGGGCCAGCCAAGGACCAATCTAGGACTAGCAAAGGACCGGTCAAGGGCCAAACAAGGACCATCCAAGGGTCA